TGAAGCTTAAGATCCATTAAGAAATTATCATTCATTTCAACGCAGTACTTCCTAAGTGTCTGAAATATATTGGAATTTGTGTTAGCCTGTTAACTAATCGTGTTAGCATTCGATTACGTGGTTGCATTGAAGCTACCTAACTAGTTCATTTCACATCCGATTCCAATACAAAGACTGTAAAGCTATCATTTCCACATTCCCACCTATTTTTATGTCTTCCTACTACGCAAACTGCATTAGCTGCCATTAACAAAATAAACAATACAGCTCACACACAAGCGGCGTCGTATAAACACGCTGTTAATTAATATAGTATTCTAAGCATTGGCCGAAACGGAAGTTTTGTTTTAAGAAGCGCTAATGGTGTTCGCTGATGGATTATTACGAAACAATGGCGAATAAATATACAATGTATTGTTATTTAGTGATACATTGCGAAACTAAATGAATGGAATTTGGACTCTTCTTATTAATGTCGAAGGAGGAGCACAGAAGAGAGTATTTTAAAGACATTTTCGCCTAAATATGTTGGCGCGATCGGAGCACAATTGTAAAATTAACTCAAATTACTGCAATAACATTTCGCAACGACTGCTTTTGTCGTGAGAATGTTTGGGTATGAGCACGTATACTCAGAAAATACATGTTCAGAGTGTTTCCGATTGTGAAAGTGTTGCACAATTATGATGCAGGTGTGCCGGGCTATATTCAGCCACCATTATTCCGGGCACAAATAAGCGAAATTGTTTTAAAGACGCGTCCACAAATACATCGTAGCTTGTCGGACATATTAGTTACAGTATGGTCTCATACCGAGCATTTCCTGATATCGTGCAACATGATATTGTGTCCAATTTATCTGACACATTAAATACTTGTGGCCGAAATTACGGCTCGCCATTGCCATTGTCAATGAACTGACCTACACAGTAATTTGAGCAATTACTTTAGTAAGTACTAAGAAAACGTATTTTTCGTAAAAAAAGACAATCATAATAAGTTTTGTGCTAAAAAAACTTACGTCATTCCGTAACCTGTAAGTCAAGTGGATTTTATGACACTGTCATTTTTTTGCGTCAGTATTTTAAGACCTACTATATCGATGGAAGTTTCGGGAAATTTTGGGAGCTCTAAGGTTAGCTGGCATGATAAAAATGGAATTAAGAGATTGAAATTGGCCCTTTACTGAAGCCATGTGCTCGTGTAAGAGCTGATCAATTCCTATAAATAATAAAGAACAAGAAGCTATAGATGGATGTTCTAGGATTTCATCAACAGCCTTCACAGTCCTACAGGTTGCCATAAACGAAACAAGCGTGATAGAATAGTCCTTGTATCAATCCTGACAGATGTCTGATGTATTAAATTAAATCATAGTCCTAATGACGCCACTTGCACCGGAACCGATGATCTAATTTACTCGGAAGAACATAAAGGTCACATGTAATACTATGCATCTGATCTTACTCATGTACCTATACATAATCTATTTATATATAAACTGATATCATTGCTTTATTTCTATTTACGGTCGTGATATTACATGTTTTTTATTATGATAAATATATATGCTTATCTACTCTGAACTGCGCGGATGTTCAGCGTAGTAACTAAAATCTATGAAATGTGTTATTTTTTTACATTTTACTATATTTTACCGTACCTATGTTGTTATAAAATCAAAATATGCTTGTCTGTTCGCAGTGATAATTTAGTAGAGAGTAGAGTAGAGAGTGATTCGCAATTTTTATCATTAAGTAGTGGATCTCGCAAAAGTTTTTTTCGCCTAGAAAATTCTTCTGCGAATCTTTGTTAATTTATTCTTACATAAAAATCTTCTCCTAACAATAACAAACCCAACAAAAAGTAATCATCGAAATCGGTTCAGCTGATCTCGAGAAATCTTTTTTTGTCAGCTTCCCTAGACTTTCCCTGGACTTTCAAAAAATAAAAAAAAGCATCATTATGCGTCATTTCCAAACAAAAATGTTCATACAACTGAAAAATAGAGATGTTACTCAACATGACCTAAATCTTAATAAAATCCTCGTCATCCCTGTCTCCTAAAAGATACTGGGGTTATCGATTCCAACTTCCAGCCAAAGAAATAAAAAAAGCAATAAGAAAATTGAGTACACATACGCAGTTCCAATACTATAAAAATATACGATTCCTAGACAGAATGAAACCACATAACTACATACGATACGACATATAAAAGTGTAGCGAAAAATATTAGCCAACGTGACTCGCGCCAGCTCTCGTGTGGTCACAAATGGAGCATTTTATATTGGACAATCACAAAAACTGTTGACGTGATGTCATCAGGAAGCCACAACCACGGCTTATCATGATGATGTCACCGCCTAAAGGTCGAGGTCACAGTGAACTTGATTTTATAACATTTTTTTCTAAGTTATCATTGTTAGAAGGGTTATTGACTTGGGTGATAAGGGTGTAAAGGTCTGTGCTCAAAGATTAGAATGTTATCATATTCAATAACAATTTGTAAAAAATCTTGTTTGATTTTTTGTGTGTTATCTGAATAATGAAAATATTTGTGTAGTTATTATACATGCATGGGTAACTTAGGTACAGAATCACTAATTGCATGCAATTTTTATAGTGATTTAAACAATGAGTAACAATATCAATGTATTCAATATCAGATAAATACTTAGATTTGTCAAGAGTAACAAGAATTTAACTGTAACATATATGTAAAGTCTGGTATATGTAAAAAGAGCACCATTGTGGATGCCTCCTAAAGTAATATGTAACAGTATGATACAGTATGTATGAGGTAATATGGGAGCTCTTTTAAGAATATCGTCACTTCATACATATTCAGTTTGGTCTGAAAAATGGGTAGACATAGGTATTATATCTGAGTAACAATTGAAGAAGGACAAAATATGTTCAAGTGATATTACCGATCATTAAATATCTACCTACTGTACTTTGATCAATTTATCAATTAACAGGCTTTCTTGATTAGTCATATTCAATACCTAGCTAAGCCACTAACAATAAAAAGTTTTACAGGAACTAAGCACTAACCTATGACTTAGAAGAAAATATTCAAAGAATTGAAGCATTTGAACAATGACTTACTAACTGAAAATAAAGCAATAATTTAAATACCTAGTTAGTCTAGTATTTGTAATGTAATGTAAACAAAAATATACAACTTTAAAATGGCATTGTGCAATAATACAATGGGCTCTCGGAAGTCTACACTTGCACATCAAATAAAAGTATTTTACATGCATTGTAAATGATAGTTATTTACAGAACAAAATAAACAAACAGAACATTCCAATTACATTTTCTGCATAACATAACATCACGCCTTTTATCCTCGAAGGGGTAGGCAGAGGTGCACATTATGCCGCTGTACAATGTAACACCCACTTTTCACTATTTATGTTATGAGTCCCATGTAATAGGGGGTGAGCCTATTGCCATATACCGGGTACAATTCCAGACTCCGTGCTATTACTGAATTTTTTTTAAATACTTTGCCCAACCCGGGAATCGAACCTGAGACCCCTTGCCCGATAGTCGCACTTCTGACCACTTGGCCAATGAGGCAGTACATTTTCTACATATTAAACCAATTTCTATACATAAATAACATAGGTTGGCAATATTATTGGAATGTTTAAATTAATCTGTCAAACACCAAGCGGTCACCGGTGACCGCGACCTATTGTTCTTTAATTGTGTCTATAAAACCGGTACTCGACGAGTTAATAATAACACATTACATGTTTTACTGTGTTACCAATGATTTACATGATTTTTCCTCTCGATAAACACAATTTATCAAAAATTGGTTTAGCAGTAAATTTATTTTAAGTAGGTACATACAAGAGTTTAATTATCCTCATAGCTTCCAAACAATGTGTTATTATAAATTATAAATAATTAGTACTTTATCGTGAAATAGTAATTTTAGTAATGAAATAGTAAATTTTAATATATAGGTATATATAATTATATATTAAAATTACTATTTTATGATAGATTGATGCCTGACTCCCATGTCTCATGTTACAGATTGAGTTATAATTACTGTTCCAATCTTATAAGTGTTATTTAAATCATAAGGCTATTAAACTCTTATTCACTCACACTATGATAATCTGATTTAATTTCTTTTTAATAGTTATTTTATTTCATTCTTTAAGATATGAAATAAGAAAGATGAAGACAAAATATCAAAGATAACATGAATATTATTTTCAAACCAAATTCTTGTTTTATCTGTGAAACTCGGTCATGATATAGACCACAAAATAGTCACAATTTCCCTATTTGGTAGTAAATATTGGATAGGATTGTCGGGTTAATAACACTAATGTTTCCTCACCAATTAGAGTGATTAGCACTATTTCTGCTAATGGACTTATTAACGAATTAGCTACAATCATATTAGATTCTACGTAAGCATGATACTATATGTAGAACCAATTAGGTTTTGCAAGTAGTTAGAGTATTGGCGCACATTTCTTTTAGCCTCTAAAATGTTAGCTAAATTATTTAACACTCTATTATCGGCTTTAACGAGTCAGCAAGTGCTTCTAACACATATGTAGCCTTCCTGAACATTACCCAAGAGTCTAAAACGGCTTTTAACTGTCCATAAAAGTGCAGCGAAGTAGAAACGTGCCAAAGTTGTAAACAGTGTACGTCTCTCGACCTGCCTAGTGGCCAAAAGTGGGACAACCGGCACCGCGCCCAGGTACCCCGCCCGCTCACCGCAAACACATTCCAATAAGAAAAGCAACTTTTTTTCCACACAAACATTTTATAAAAACAACATTAACTTATAAGACATCTTTTTTACTCCCTTCTCAATGTCTGAACAACTTCGCTACATCGTCAAAGCTACAGGAAACGCAAAAACAAGCCGTTACAATCTCCGTCTGTTTATAAGCCGACAGAATACGGTATTACAGATAACTTATTTTCAATGAGAATTTCATAAAAATTACCTGTTGATCAACAAGATCCCATTAAACACTGCACCGGCGACTCCAGAGACCTGTAGATTTTGCACTCGATGATTTTTCGGCACGTAAACACAACGGTCTCACAAAAGGGAGAACTGGTAAAAACACAACCACGAATCCACCTTTAGACGCACTGTATCACAATACACCTTGTATGTCCGGTGCGGTGATGAGTTTATTATGTGAATAATACGCACTCGGGCTGTCTACAACAATTTTCATTCATCGCAAGGTGAAATCATTCGAGACGAGTGGCAGTTGGTGAAGAAACTACGAGCGCGGGCGGCAGGGAGCGCGCGCGTCATCCGCCATATTGGAGGATTACGTCATTTTGTCGTTACTTTTTTTTTTAGTATGAGTAAGCTTCGAAAACTAGTTTTTCAACCAAGTAACGGATTATTTCAACATTTGTATCTGCTCTTGTAAGTGTATCCGAACAAACCGTTCATTTAGTTCAAAGTATCATTCAGTCATTAGGCTTAGTTCATTCAATTACAGTGTTGCCAAATCTAAACTAAAGCCCAGAAACAAGGAAAATGAATATGAATATAAATATTATTTTTCAAGCAACGGCCAAACATTCCTAAAAATATATTTAAAATCCCAGATTTACTGCAACAATACAACATTTCGTGCAAAACATGTAATCGAAGAGTTTTCAATTAGAAAATGTATGTTAATAAAAAACATCTAAGAATGGATGCACATGCTAAAAATGGAATAACACTATCTAACTTAAGGCTTTGCTCGCGAATCATCATTACTTGTTCATTATCATCAAGATCAACAGTCAGAAGATGTCCATGGCTGGACAAAGGCCTCTTGTACTCGCTAAGGCTCGTAAGGCTCGAAAATACTTAGTGTTAATTCAAGTTTTCAGGCTAGTAACATTGATGAAATAATGTCAAAATTGATAAGATTGTAGGTCTATTTGTCATCATTTGTGTTTATTAGAAAATAAAATTCGACAATAATTTGTTAAACCTTTGCTTTGCCTTAACAATATTACGATTTAAGCGAATTTATCGTTTATAATAAAGATATTAAAATGCAAGGTAAGTATTGCTTTCTGAAATACTATAATCTCAATATCTGTGTCTTTGTTTTCGTTTTTCCTGTTTTTTCTGAAGTTATTACTCATACTTTTTATTTTACAGATACAAGACCAGAGTTATATGAAGAAGTAAAGCTTTATAGAAATGCCAGGGAACGTGAAAAGTGAGTATTATTCGCTTTGTTGTAAACAAAATTTAAAGAATCATGTCAATTTTATTTACTGTTGAAATCAATTCGAGTAATTAGATTAAAGAGGTATTTAAGGCATTATGGACTTAGAAAACTCTCAAATGGCAATACAAAATTGACAAAATTATAATAGGTACTTATTTTCTTATTTAAAATAAGAATCTGAATCATTGCATCAGCTAGATTTATGCACTGTACTTCTATATAGCTTGCAGGTCACGTCCATCCAACATCATTAGGCCTGTATTCAGCATTGAACATCTTATGACTGATGATAATGCCTGCTTAATTAAATGAGTTTCATAATACAAGATCTGTCAGATATTTATACCATACTATTTTCCATTTTCAGGCATGACAACATGGCGGAGTTGTATGCTGTGGTGAGCACACTGCAGCATTTGGAAAAAGCATACATGAGGGACTGTGTGCGAGCGCAGGAGTACACTGCGGCCTGTAGCAGGCTGCTCGTCCAGTATAGAGTGGCCTTCAAACAAGTGCAGGCTGATGAGTTCCCCAATATCGAAGCTTTTGTTGCAAAATATAGAGTGAGTTGGATATTGTTTTCTTTGTTTAGTTAATTAGATCTCTATTTTTATTTAAAGATGTGAAGCCTTGTGATTTTATTAGAATAACTGTGTGCCATCATTAATTTTATTGTGCATCAAACTAAGTCTAAAGTATGTCGAATCAAAATAGCATTCATAGCAAATCTAAAATAACATTTAAATACTTGAAATTTTTTAATTTTGTAGTTAAACTAGAAATAAGAAGACTTATGTATATTCTCTTGATAGGCTAAATACACTTTACTTGGTTGAATTGAAAGTCAATAGTTGGGAATAATAATTTATGTTGTAAAATAAGTGAAATAAGTAAATTTATTTCTGCAAATAGGCTACAAGGCAGCACTTTTACACGTCAATTTTATCAAGTGAACAATGAGGTCGATAATATTAATAACCTAGTTAGTAGCCATGAGGATGACGATGAGGTAAATAATAAACTAATGTTAAATGGATTGAGTAAACTATATGAGTTTTAGGCCTAAAGCAAATTATGAGAATGCACAGCGTACTTGATTGCTTGATACAAACTGAATTGAATAATTAGGTAAATTAATTACGATGTGTACAAATGTGTACCATACAATTATGGCATTCAATTTATGTTGTAATTCTCAGTACCTAATTACTTTCAGAAATATTGTCTCCATAATATAATGCTGTTCTATTCCAGCTGGACTGCCCGGCGGCTCTGGAAAGGATAAGGGAGAACAAACCCAACCTCATCAAGGATGACAAAGGCAACACCAACAAATACATTGCTGAGATTGTTTCGGTGAGTAATCATATTAGTCTGTCTGCATTAGATTATGACTAATAAAATAAGCACTTTGTATCCCTTTTCTAAGAAGCAAGAACTTTTTCAATTATTATTATCCTACTAAAGTCGTGAAATTAAAGGAAAAGGGTCCATTCATCAACATTTTATTATTATTAGTTGGTTTCATAACTAGTTTTTCTTCAAGTTAACAAGCTAATATACCAAGTACAATTCTAGTCTAAACTCTAGTGTTATTTGTGAGTATTTTAAAAATGTTTAATGTCAAAATGAAGAATTGGAGTTTTTACATAAATTATGGCTACTAACTAATTTCGGGAAAATTTTCGTTTAGTAACTGCTTTACTTTTATGGTGCGATATTTTGAATTTGTAATTTATTCCTCAGCTATTCATAACCCTGATGGACAAGCTCCGTCTGGAGTTCCGCGCGATGGACATGATCCAGCCAGAGTTGCGCGACCTGCGCGACACCATGGACCGACTCATCATGCTGCCCGAGGACTTCGAGGGGAAGATTAAGGTAAACTCATGTTGCTTTAGGCTCGGCTTACATCAAGATCCTAAGTTTAAAAAAGCGGCTTGAAAAACTTTAATTTTAATTTTAATTTGTACACAAAAAGATTCACATTTTATGCATGCGTCTTGCGGTGGTGAGCCACACGAGCGCGAACTCTAATATAAGGACTCGATAAGGAATCAATCCAAAATCTATGGATCAATATGTTCACGAAATTTTTATAAATCACACATAGTATAAAACAAAGTCGCTATCCGCCGACTGTCTGTCCCTATGTATGCTTAGATCTTTTAAACTACGCAACGGAATTTGCTTTTTGAACTTTTTTAATAGATAGAGTGATTCTTAAGAAAGCGTTATATGTCGACGGTTAAGAATCAATAATGTCTATCTCAATATTTTGCATTTTGTACTTTTTTAAATCAGTGGATTTAAAGTCCATAGTAGCATAGGTTATTTAAGCTGCTATCTCAATATTCACAATATTTCCTAAGTTATTTGCCATAGAAATATCACCTATGTTAGGAACGCGTAATGCCAAATTGGACTTTAAATCCACTGATTTAAAAAAGTACAAAATGCAAAAAATTGAGATAGACATTATTGATTCTTAACCGTCGATGTATGATACATGCATATTGCACCCGTGCGAAGCCGGGGCGGGTCGCTAGTAATAAAATAAGTAACTGGTGCTTCCGTCCCTACAGGTACAAGAATGGGTAGACAAGCTATCAGAGATGTCAGCATCAGACGAGCTGTCGGAGAGTCAGGTGCGGCAACTACTGTTTGACCTGGAGACTTCATACGGAGCGTTCAACAAGTTCCTGCACAAGGACTGAGGGGTGGCTTAGGTTAGTATGACTGTAAAAAGTTAAGATTTCAGTTTGTTGAATGGAGTTATTGCTAGAAATAAATAAAATAGGTTTTACTGGTTGTATTATAGTGTTGTAGGTGCTAAAAATCATATCTTCATATTACGCAGAGTTTCCGTTGACACGTCAATTCATACATAAATCAAATGTGAATAAATATCAAAACATGTGTAATTTTTTTATGGAATAAGTCTGTAAACGAGCAGACGGATCACCTGATGGTAAGCAATCAGCGCCACCCATGGACACCTGGAACACCAGAGATGCACGAACTTGTACAAGTACGGGCCTTCTGGGGATTAGGAATTTGAGGATTGTAAGGCCTCCGGTAACCTCACTCACACGTCGAAAAACTACGCAAGTGTTACTTCACGTCGGTTTTCTGCTCGGCCTTAGTATCACTCCGGTCGAGCCGGCCCATTCGTCCCGAAGCATGGCTCTCCCACACTTAAATTACACATGAAACAAAATTCACACATACTTATTTACCTTTACAAAAACTATCTATAAGCATGTACTTTTATGATATTGGATCATTTAACAAAATGGTTATTTTATGTTGAAATGGTTAATATAAGAAATACAATATGTGTATTCAATCTTCCCATTTTCTATTACAGATGTGACCAGCTCAAACAGTGTTGTGTAATCACCAGTAGCTTGTTTATGTGAATATTATTAAATCGTTAAGTATATATACCCTAAATAATATAAATATTGTCTCAAACGTAATGTTACATTATTTGCTCTGCATATCAAGCTCATAGCTTCATTTAATTAATGAAATATACAAGAAATTGTGTTTAAATTGTTGTATTGTATTGTGACACACTAATATAGTCTTTATTGTCCACGTTTTAAATTCTACTTTGTACTGAAATGGTGTAAAAAAGGAGGTGGTGTTTCACTGCAGTATCTAATATTCTCTTAATATTTGTTTATTGTGTATCATAAACATTTACATTTAACATTTCTTTAATGTAACCAATGATCAATGTCGACTAAAAATAGTAATTTGATCATTTAGAATATTGATTCACTTTTAATAATTATTGTGTGCTAGTACATATTATTATGATGCAGTATATCATTCCATAACATTAACTCAGGTTGCGCCCTTTTGATCTAGTCACAACAAAAATAATTTCTATATTCACCTCTGATTCTCTGCCTACTCCTTCATGAATAAATCCTATATAAACATAATTGTTTTGTTTAGCCTGTACTGAGCAACGTATTATCTAAATATTTGAAACTCATACGATTTATTATAGACATTGTAATGTCGTTATTATTGTTAAGTGAATTTACTACGAATAAATTTTATATTCCACACGAACAAGGTTTTATATTATTACTAGTTTTTGCCTATGGCTTCGTCCGCGATCCCGGAGGATAAAAAGCAACCTATGCGTTATCCCAGACCATTATCTAGTCTTGTTATTATCATCTCGATCCCTTTAGCTATTTCGACGTCAATAAGGAACAAACACATACATATCTTCTCACAAACTATAATATTAGTAGAATTGTAATTTGGGCATGTGTGTGCCTGTGGCCAGCAAGTCAAACTACTCCTTTCTGTCTCTTTATTAGATTTTCAACGCTATTGTTTAGGCGTAAAGTCGAAAATCCAATATAGATTGGAGTAGGTTAATCGCTGTACTAGTTTATTTATTTAATACTTCTGCATAATATATATAGCACAAGGCGAACTTAATGCCTAGGGCATTCTCCCCAAGTTGTATAATATCTTTTTTTTTTTTTTGAGGGGGGAAAATCATCCAATGATTTCTCCCACTCGGGTGAATCCGGAGGGAGTGTCAGTCTCTTACTGACTACCACCCCGTTCCTACTCCTACACTTCGAGCCGGAGCCCCGGCAACCCTTTAAGTCTTCGGCGGCTCCGTATCGGCATCAGCCCTGTTATGCCCCATCTGTGGTGGTCTGAAGGCTCCTTGAGGCGCACGCGGAACGTGACGCGCCGTACGCTCGGGCCTGGTTCTGGCTTCTGGTCGGGCGGCGAGTCACCCATGCTCGCCGTCCGCAGGCCCGTGCTTACGGTGGCCGGAGATCGTCTCGCGATCCCCGACGCCCGGAGTGTCTCTCGCGACGGCCGGGTCGTGAGGAGGTTCGTTCCCTCACGCGCTCCGCCTCCTCCTTAGCTAGCATGACTGCTTCACAGAAGGAGAAGACGGCATCCCAGTCCCCCTCGCTCCAAGTTGTATAATATCTGCCTTTCGCTTTTATGTCTGCATACGTTACGAATATGTACGCGGACGAAAATATAGCCAGAACCATTCAATTACTGTCAAAGTTATAAAATTAATTAGCATGAACTATTAATTTTAGATAGTAAAACTGTTACTTTAAGGGAAATGCGAGATTGACTTCTATTTACAAGGGCATACATTTTATTTTTGTTGAAAATATTGGTCCTTTATTTTTTGCAGTAACTTCAGTCAGTATCTTAGATAATTTGAAAAATATTTCGTGTTTTCCAATAAAGAAAATATAACTAAATATCTATTTGAAATATTGTTTCTTTGAATTCCCAATTCTATGTCATTCTAATATAGTTCAAAAACGGATGACACTTAATTTACTGTGATGAGTTTCCTGTGCAGATTTAGCGTGCCATTGATCATAATTATAGCTGTAATAAGTTATTTAGAGGTGAGTCATCATTCGCATCAGGAATTGCCCCTTTCAGGGGAATATTATATTCTGTAGATGCTCTTATTTATCCAATAAGTTTCGAAATCTATCTCTATCTTCAGGCCCAAATATGCCTTACTTATCTTTAAAAAGTTTGCTATCTCTTTTAAATCTAATAAATTGGTGGATCATTGATATAGACTAAAAATGGGACCCAATATTGAACCTTGAGGAACACCGATTTTCATCTCAGCCCTTTAGCTGAACCTTTAAGGCTAATATGAGCCGAGCAGCGGGTGAAACCACGCGGGAATAGTTAGTAAGAAAGTAAGATAAAATGTTGGCTATTTAAAAATACTCCATTTTATCATCTTTAGTGCTCAAACAATGTGTTCCAAAAAATGGACAAGAAATACTACCTGGTGTCCGAAGCCTACAATATGGCGAAGAACCTCTTCAACCAGGGCCGTGCCAACTACATCAGTTTAAAAAGCAAGTCCTTAAGAACTATCGACACTTTCCTTGACTTGGTCTACATCATGAACGACGAGATGTCCAAGGAACTGAGGAGTGCGGTCCTCAAGTTCTACAAAGTCAAATACTTACATGATTTCACCAATTACATTATTAGCATGGAAGAGGTAAGAATGGTAGTTCGAGATTTTTTAGATAGATTTAGTGCAGTCATGCAGTGGCGGGTCCACTCTTTAGTGGAATGGAGAATGGAGTTAAAAAGTTAAAAAAATCTTCTTGCCCCGTGATCATACGAGAAGTGCATCAATAGGTAATGTCTGTCTATTTTGTAGGACCATAGTGTCTTTGTAGTTTTTTAAGCTGACCTACATACTTAGTTCAAGTGCCTAATATCTACTCGCACGTTCAGATGATAGAAGTAATAGAGCACTGCCTAATAGACCCGATGGAGAAGTTGGACCAGATCAGGACGCAGTTCCAAGACGTCATTAAGAACTTCCAGGATGTGAGGAACTTCGACTCTGTGAACAAGTGCCACAAGGAACTGCCGGATGAGGTGTCTGCTGCACACTGTTTGCTGCATCAGGCCGTACTGTAAGTATCAAATGGCCATGGGTAAGACGGTGAAAACCTTCGAAAGTTGATCAAAATACTTAGTACCCACTTAAGTGTGGGAGAGCCATGCTTCGGCACGAATGGGCCGGCTCGACCGGAGTGATACCACGGCCTCACAGAAAACCGACGTGAAACAACGCTTGCGTTGTGTTTCGTTGTGTGAGTGAGGTTACCGGAGGCCCAATTACATTACCTCCCTCCTTAGTCTCCCGAATCCCCGAATCCTCCACAATTCTCAAATTCCCAATTCCCAAAAGGCCGGTAACGCACTTGTAATGCCTTGGTGTTTCGGGTGTCCATGGGCGGCGCCGATTGCTTACCATCAGGTAATCCGTCCGTCTGCTCATTTACTGACTTAAGTATGCTATAAAAAAAGTGTAGGTGGATGACAAGATCAGAAAATAAAATACTGCTTCTTTTTATAGCTTTAACGAAACGATGCAAGAAAGTTTAGTAACAATAGTAGAAATAAAGACGAGACAACATGCCCAAGACATGAACACTTCTTTGTACAACGTCCAAACCTGCATCAACAACTTTGTACCGAAGTTCTTCGAGCAACTAATGCTTGATGCTTACACGGAAAGATGCGGCTACCTCCGCGTAGTCAACGCTTCCATTGCAGATCTAATAAGAGACAAGTGGAGAGGCAACGAAACCGTATTCCCGGAGAAATGGAGCCCCTTGGTGCGGTTATTGAAGGAGAAGTAAGTTACTTACTTACTTATTTGTATTCTTTTAGGACTTGTGTGAAAAATAAGTTTCTATTAAGTTAATTTTCAGTACTTGGCTTAGGACTTATAGGTATTTTAAAAGTAGGTACATACAAGAAATATTTCTTTTTTATTTTGTTACAGAACAAAGCAACCCGTCAGTGCTTTAGAAGAACCGTTACATTTGACTCTTTTTGCAGCGAATCTATCATCTCAAGATATTGTCAGAACTTTATATAAGTAAACAATAAAAGATGTGAATGTATTGATTGTTAATACTTTACCAAAGCCATACTGAGATATCTTATTTCATAGAAAATTAATAATTGCTTAATGCATGTATGCCGTATGCAGTTATTATTATAATATGCTTATCGCAAACCAATGAAGCACGTTTTACTCATGTTACTTTTAGTTTTCCTTGCTCGCTGGGTGTGACGATAACAAGCTATGTCATTGTTTTTACTCGTTAAACCCGTTTATTAACTGATACTAATTGATGAGTGTATTCAGACTGTATTTAGTATAGCATAGTCTTGTTACGATGTCGAGAACAAAAGAGTAAAACGAAACTTCAACAACATCTGTCAAAGTGTCAAACAAAAGTAGAATGTGTCAAAAAAACGCGCGTACGTTGTTTGTTTGTTGTTCAATCATGTTTTTTGTGATTTTTGATCAAAAATTAGCATAAAACAGCCAAAAATGACTAAATCAGTTCGTGAATTGCTCCAAAATGGGCGTTCATATGATGAAACTGATCGGATGCCGGATAAAATAACTATAACTAACCTGGATATTTTTATGTATCTGGTGGCAATTGTTGGTCATTTTGTGGACTTAGGTCTAGATATTAATATAGCTGTGAGGTATTCTATAGCTCTGAAGATGACGGAGTTCGGATGGACGCTGGCGTTTATCCTTGTGCCTGCGTTTGTCAACACTGCTGTTTCTATAAGGATGTAAGTGGCTTTGTTTACATACATTAGAAATAGTTATAAAAATGAAATAACTTGACTAACATAGAGTAAAGATCTATAACTTAAATAAGAAGTGGTTTAATGTAAAGTAAATCTTCAATATTAGAGTCAAAACTATCTGAAAAGTTTTAGGAAAACAAATTTTTTTGGGTATGGTCGCAAGTTTTACATTGAACATGTTTTGATAACTTTAATAGTGTTTGCCTTATTTTCAATCACATTTATTTTTAGTATACAAAACAAGTAATTATTTATGTGTACTTTCCTGTTATAAAATCTATTTCTACAACTATGATATAAAATTAGACAAACAATGTGGTTATGATAAACTAATCAGTTCTTTAATTTTATTTTGTTGGATCCCAATTTCTAATCCCCAAACAGTAATAGTTATGTTATTAATTTCATATAATAGAAGGTGATTCAGGAGACTTTCTTCTTCTTCTTCTTCAGCCTCAATTCCGGAATCATGCGTATATGATATGTTTTTAAAAAATGTGAGAATGCTATACCAAACTGCTTATTTATTTTTAAAATAAATATTTGAAATCAGAAATCTCTACTATTAACCTCTTTTCTATATGGTATACCTTCCTCTCATTTTCAGGTACTGTCTGGACAAGCAACAGGACTCTCTATCGAATGAGTTCACAAAACGCAAGTGGCTCCGTATCTTCATACTAGTGTTACAGCTGGCACCTATACTGCGGTTTGCTGATGCTCTCATGTAAGATATATTTTTAATCTTTTGAATACTGCAGTAAAAGCTGTACTATATCGCCGCGACCGCGTATGCTGCTCATGAGCAAGAACCCCTCTGTGGTTCGAAACTAGTAGAGCTTTTCTCAGTATATTCACGTGAGTAACCCATGATTTTAGTTAATTTAGTATGTCTCACGATAGTTATTATAAAAACTGTAATTTTGAAGTCCTTGGTTGAGACGTACATTCTGCAGAGGATGTCTAGTGGCTCATATTATTATTTTGATGAAGAAAAACCTGTAATTAGGAAACATTTATGATTAACTAGCTTCTGCCAGCGACTTCGCCCGAGTTCCTGTTGGATAAAAAGCCTATGTGGAAAAGATAAAAACCCCTGTTCCAAATTTCATCCGGATCCCTTCAGCCGTTTTGATGTAAAAGAGTAATAAACAAAAACACTAACTAACACAGGCCACTGGCCCTTTAGATTTAGTAATTAATTCTTTGTCACAGATATGTATTTTTGACAAAAAACACAGATTAGTAAATGTTACAAATGTATGAAGTGCTCAAAATTTGGAATGTATCCTCCTAGAGTCCCAGTACCTATTTAGTAAATCAATATGCTATGTCAATGTTTGTAAGGGGATTTTTTGAATTGATAATTTATGATCATCATCCCGTAGCTATGCAGTCAAGTCTCGTCGTGCGGAACGTAAGCAGGACTCGGCTACACAGCGGAAGTATTACAGCCTGATGCTGAAGGAGGACTCAGATGCAGCCCTGCTTCGGATCTTCGAGTGCTTCCTGGAAGCAGCTCCGCAGCAAGTCTTACAGACTAGTTTATTGTTGAGAGCTAATCCGGATTTTACTGGTGAGTTTCATAGACTCACTGATTAACGCTTTATGATTTCTAGTGCATTTAAAAGTAGCCTCTTATATCTAGACGACGCGACGTTGTGTTTACTAAAATGGAATTAAATGTTAATCTAAATTTAAAGTGCCAACTCCTAATCACTATACAGCATCCGTTCTTACATCCTTACTGCATGCATGATATCATTTCCCATTTACAGATATTTGAATATGTTGGTGTTACAAATAAATATTTTTGTTTGTGTTTCAGTTCATCAGGTCCTGTCGATAGCGTCGTCTATAGTGGGTATGGGTTGGTGTCTCGCGGCGTACCAACGCGCCGTGCGGTTCTACCAGCAGGACAAGTATAATATGAGCTGGATTGGCACCGCGTTGCAGACCATCTGGCATTTTCTTGTTACTTGTAAGTTCTTTTAAAGTCGCAATTTCTATTTGCAGAAAAGTAGTTTATTATTTTTGATATAATTGTTCATGGTATCTTATGTTTGCATGAAAATAGGAGTCTAAAACGCATATATTTCTATTCCAGTGAGCCGCATAATCTCAATATCAGTGATCGCGTACCTGTTCCCTCATTGGACGGTCCTAGCGTGCGCTATTCACGTCTTCATCACCGCCACGCTGATACAACTGTTTGACCGTTCTCCGTTCTGCTCGCACAACCGCCTTGCCGATATCGCCTTCTCTTTCGCACTTGGAGCAGTATACATCTTCACCTACATCCTCCCAGTAGAAGGCAAAACAAGATATAGGTATACTATCTACTACAGTATATGTTTTATACAGAATCTTGCTTGTGGAGCCATCTGGTACATATTCGTGTCCGATGAAATGAGGAACTCGATTTATTTCTTCCCAGTTTTAGCATTTACTGTGGTGCCCTACGTTGTAGGTCTAGTTATAATGGTCATCTATTATAGGTTCTTTCACCCGGAAATCAGTAAACGAGGATTTAGTGTTACGTTTGTTAGTGACCGAGTCATAACTAATAGTTAACATTTGAAGATTTAAGACAGTAACTATACTCAATGAATATTGAGATTGTTATTATTACTGTACCGAGATACATATCAGTATGTATGTACTGTAATGCTGATTAGAAACGTGTTTTGGACAGTTACAAAACAATTTAAGCGGGTTTAGGTGCTACTCACCATTAAAGTTAATCTCAAATATTAGTCTTGACACTGCCTGTGGCCTGCGGTGCTCCATTTGTCAACTCATCTGTGGTCAAAATAGGATCTGAACAATTTTTTTTTTTTAAATTAGTACCTGTCTATTGTGTTCCTGCCTCTTCTTAGTTACCATTTAATTTGAGATAATTATATTATTCTTGTTAATTAATTGGCGCAATGTTTTTTTAGTAAATAAACATAATAATTATAATTTATACCTTGATGATTAGGATTGTAATAAATATCGAAAAATAGGATTATCATTTAGTTAAATTACATTGTAAGTTAAAGTCGAAGATATAAAAATTTTAATAAGATATTTCATCAAAATTTTATTATCTGTCAGTATGTGTCTCAGTGAAGCTGTTGTTCCAAAGTGTAGTTTCGAATGGAGAAAGAAGAACGAGCCAGAAACTCCATTGTTACTCTTACACGTTAAATGCCATGGCGGTCTCCTGTGACCAACATTTACGGAGGATTTGCCTTCAACAATTTTTTATTGGCAGTCAAAGCCTTAAAGAGTGACCATGGTTCATTGATACATTATTTAATTCTGTAATCTAATCTCTATTTTTGTAAAAGTGCTATAGTATTTTGACCGATACTAGCTTCCAAATTATAGGTGCAAGATTAGTACTAAGTGCAGGGGAACCAATTTCTTTATTAAATAAATTAATAACTAATATCAATAGGCATGATAAGACTGCATAGTAATAAGTATTGTACATTTCATTTTCTGTTTAAGGAATATTTTTTTACACTAGTAAATATTGTAATACTGATATTTTTGTACTTAATCTTTTTGAATCTTTATGAAAATTATCTGTGAATCTCGAATGATACTCGCTAAATTTTTAATAAATAATTTTACATAATATAAACCTGTTTTCTTTAGATAATATTGAATCTAATTGTATCGTGAAATAATACGATTTTTAGGGAAGTAAAACTAAGAACGAATAATTAAATACATGTTTATTATTATCACCAAATAAATGGCGCGCGTTCTCTAAGTATCCTTAAACCAAATCTGTTCCATTCACTCTGGTTGATCCACAACTCTATAGCAGATTCCAAACACGACATCACTGCCGCCCCCTTCCATACAGTACTGGCTGGATCAATGTCTTTAGGAGAAGTCACTATTTCCAACTGTTCAGTCTTATATGTGTATGGAATCTGCAAGGCTAGCCTGTTCTGAAGCCACAAGTTCAAGCCATGGGCTTTAACTCCGCCTCCTACTATCAATATGTTGCTGTACATCTTCCGTTTCAACTCCTCATTTGGACAGCGGTCTATACTTTGCAGTATTGCGGCATCAAGCGCCAGCACCTGTCCAGGTGCTAACGAAACTACATCACTCGGACCGCCTTCAAGAGTGTCCACAACTATATCCTCATCTGCATTAGCAGTAGGTTGAGCTTCACTAGTCGCTTCAAACTGCTGGCTCTCATTGGCCGAAGGATCCACAGTTTCCCTCTTCCTCCCAGTCTCTCTTAAAAACTCTGCATCAAAAGGATCTTCAGGGTCACTTGGCTGTCTATTCTGTATCTTGGTAGATTTAGAGCCAGTGATCTTCAGTAAATCTGTGTAGAACATTGATAATGGTGATATTATGCACTCATCTCCAACTTGCAGCGTGTACTTATTTACTACATCACCAGGATGGTCTACTAGAAATGATTTCTCTTGAGGCCCACACACATCCAGGTTCACATGGCAGAAGTTCTCATATAAATTCCTCATGAGTATCACATCTCTAGGTATGTTCTCATTCCAATTCTTGTAAGGGAATGCACTCTTGTGGAACATCCATGATAGAGCTTGACAGACATCTCCTGCGCCATAGTCCATTCTCAATCTAGTTGTCTTATGTGAGATCCCGTCTTCAACGCAAGATATGGCAGTTTTCTGGTCTCCAATGTCCACCACACATGCAGATCCTATACCAGCTCCGAATGTGGCTCCAACACTCTCCTGTACAAAGAAGCAATGTCCAAAACCCAAGTCCTTCAATAACAACAGCATTAAATACTTTAGATGGCTCCTGGAGTATAAATCAGGTATAAGCAGTACACATCTGTACTTTACTAGTTCTATTAGAGGTATGCCTAGCTTGTACTCTATAATAGAGCTCCATATAGTGTACAGGTCATTGAGAACTGAAGAGATAGAGCCTCCCACTTCAGAATGTATGTTGAAATCACCTCTGCGGTATGGAAAGTGGATATTGTAGGGTAGCTCAGGGTCTATGTCGAGTACTAAGTCACCGATCACAATGTCACACTGAACTTGTGGCCAGGGATCTCCATCATTAACACATTCTGGTAAAGAGCGACGGTTGAAAGCTGCGATTTGCTGCGGTGGCGTCGCGTACCTTCGTGCTCCGTTCGACTGTACACATGACTGCAACGTGTGAGATATTTGTAGACGACATTCTTCTAATTCCTCTATCAATTCCTTAGTTTTTGGCACACTTGGAGGGATGAAGGAATCACGGTAGATCTTTCCTCCTGGACGACGTTTTCTTGCTATGCAGTGCAGTTGTTTCACTGGTATGAGGTCTGAAGCTCTTCCTATACGAACATATAGTGATCCAGGGTGGATAACGATAATTCTATTCGATGGGAACTGCTGGAAATGCTCCGGACCCGGCTCGAAAGATGGCATACTCATTTGTAGACGCTTAATTACCTGTTTTATGTGTTATAATAGATGTATCTCTCACACTGTTATAATATTTTATTTTCGGCACATACATGTGTATTCACCATTCACTTATATTTTTTCTTGGAATCTTTTTACAAAAATAACACATCTGTAAACATAACCTATAGGCTTGACAAGTTTGACAACTGTTTTGATTTGACTTTGACAAAGGGCAAGAGATGCTTTTTCTGGTTGCTTTTTATCGGTCAATATTCAGCTGATATGTTTGTAATAAAAATAATTTAGTAACAATACAACTATTGTCAAAACTGAAATAATATAATGATGTCACAAAATATTTTTAAGTAAATCTATTTCTCTTTTATTTAAGTTTCACATTTCGAAAAGTGTATCCGAACCAAAAGAACGAATGATAAACTGACCTCTGTCAAACTGCTGTCGAAAATTCGGATAATTCTGTCAAATTGTCACAAATGTCATCCGCTGTCTATCGTCGTGTCACGAAATCAGAGAAAATAAACACTTTCCCGAATTTTTAACAGTGATATAATAAAAATCATTCGCGAAAATGGTTTCTAGGAGTTTAACTGAAGTGTTTGTATTGATGCGTAACAACGCTATACACAGCCGGCACATATTTGCGGACCAGGCAAGTACTTTCTTGTTATTGATTTATGTTTTGTCCATTACTTTTGAATATTATATGATGCAATTACGAGCGTTTAGCAATTAATTAAAGTGTGATAATATAGCACAGACTATGTTTGTGACGGTTATTTAAAATCTATAGTATTTAACCTAGTGGCCGACAAACTAAAAAGTTTATGAAACTGCAAGTATATGTCGTCACTCTCTCTTATATGATTTAAAAAGGCTTTATAGATAGTAAACAAATAAATGTTCGTGGGTACAAACAAATAGACATTTGTAAATTTAATATCTATAGCCATTTTTGCAGTGTAAACCATAATTTCATTGGTGTAGAATCACAAAATCAAAATAATTTTATGTTGAAAATGTAACAATTTAACTATATTGTTGATCATGTTCTAGCGTCCAAACACGGGACAGGTATGATTGCTTGTAAATGTTGTAGAAGTGATATTGTAGAGCCTATAAGAAAACACTTATTTTTGTGACTGTTAAAGAGGAATGCTGAAATTATTTTTGCCTCGCAGAATTACCATTTTTTTTGTCCCTTGCATGTTATTTTACGTTAATTGTCCTTTTGAGCAATGTCAAAGTCTGTTATCACATTTTTGTTGCTGTATAATAGTTTTTAAAACTATGTATTTTCCCGTCATGCACTATATCTTCCAGTAATTTTTTAATTAGTAGTTAACTGTTTTAGTTTGGAGTTGCATTTATTAATATATATTAATAATAGTAAACAACATGAATCTGATTATATTAAAACTTTCATGAGATATACTAAATTGATTATTGTATTTTTGGCTTACTTTGAAACCATTTGACAAGGAACTCAATTAGTTTCAAGCCATGCTAGAGGCTCATATCTATGAGCAGCATGACAGTCTAGTTCCTCATCAAACAGTTATCTAAGTAAGCCTAAAACATCATAATAATTAATTAGTATAAATCTTAAAATACTTATCAGTTTCAATATCATGACAAAAATGTCACCTACCTAATATGTAAGGTCAAATATTTATATGATTTACAACTGAAGATAGAAAAAAATGCATGTTTGCATGCTTAAACCTTACTATGCTAGTATAGGTATATACTAACAACTAATACCATACATTTATTATCAACAGCACAATGACTCGGAGAGGGTACGTCTCATGCGGAGTAACTCCCATGACTTGGAGTCCGGAATGGAGATGAGAACGGACTCCCACGCGCCTCCGCCTTGGACCGATGCACTGGAGGAAGCACACTACGTTATCACTAGGTTTGTATATGACTCATTTACATTATGAAATTGGATTGTCATAATTATTGTGTGGTTTTAAGCATATTGATTATTATTCTGTATATTATAAATTGTTAGTTATGAGAAAATAATTTTTACAAACTTATTTAAGTCCTAGTCTGCTGTAACAGATTCAAGCAAATATCTAAGAATGCAACAAAGAATGGGCAGAATATACTTACCTACCAATGACAACCAGACATATGTCGTAAGAAAGCTCTTCTCATGACTATCATTTGTTATTATGGGGGCTAGTCTCAATTCGTTGAGGGGAAAGTGTTATAGTGACTTAAATAATCTATCAAACAAAGGATGATGCGTCATCATTTCTAGTGTTTAATGTAGTGGCTGACAAGAGTATATTTTTTATCTCCTTATTTCCTTGCAATCTGCCCAGTTGTTAGTTGGTGGTTAAGAGGTTCATGTATTATGATATGTACGGAAAACACCCAGTGGTGTACCCGTCTCTAATTATTGCATGTCTCTCCTTTTGATGCGCTTAAAGGTGCTGGCAGACTTCATAAGCTCACTATACAAGAGTATATAATGAGGAAAAATAAATATAAAACCAATATAATATACTTTTTTTAACAATGTAGCAATAGTGAAAAAATTTCCTATTATATTTCGCTAATATCATTGCAGAAGTTTGTTAATAAATTATTTACAAACTACATATTATTCATACTATTTCATTACTTTCCTTATCAATATCTATAATGTAATTTAGCAATATTGTTGATAGTTTAATCTGTACTTGTGATCTTAATAGGTAAGAGTGTTAGATGTTATCTACTGCCATTAATCATCACTACAAATTTATCGGGGATATAATCTTTAATGCCTAAAATCTATGAGGCTGTCTACACTATCGGGACTTACCACTGATCATAGTGTCCATTGCGTGGATTGGCAGTATTATAGAAATGCTGTTGTTGTCCAAGGTGCGATTTGATACCTGAGGTAAATAAAGTATTTATGGGGTCCAGGAAAATTTGCTCTCAAATATTTGCTCCCAAACCTCTGCTTGAGTGTGACGTGCATCCATGTTTTAACTTCACTCGATACCACAGGAGACAGTTCTATTGTGCAACATTGTATTTTTTATACAAAATACATGACTGAACCTTTTGGTAGAAGATCAGGAGAAAGAAGGTAAGGCTTCTTTCCTGAAGGGTATAACCTGGGTGTCTTCAAGGCCCGAGTGAATAGGTTGCTTATGGGACAACTTGCTCCATCGTAGGCCACATCATCGCTTACCACCAGGCGATATAGTGGTCAAACGTCAGTCCCATCTAATATAACGTACCTACCTAAGACAACTGTTGTAAAGACTAAACTATTTCTATTCAGGTTAAGAACAAAACTATCAGAGCTACAGTCTCGTCATGAGAAACAGATTCGGCGTCCGTCCCTGGACGACACGACGGAGCAACAGCACATACAGCGCCTCACTGCGGAGATCGGCCGACACTTCACACATGCGCACACGCATCTTACGGCTATCAAGGCGCAGATACGACATGGTACGTTGGGATTTAGTAATAAGTATAGTATTCTTCTGTTGGCAATTAGCTCCCTATTTATATGGCAGTCGATTCGAAATGAACAGAAACAGAACAGAAAGATTGTGCTAAAATTATGCTGATTGTGGGTACTTGGTAATAATTGAGATCGCTACATTGTCAACACAGTAGCTTGATTCCTTATGTACAAATTTCGCGCGTTTGATTCCTGAATCAAAGAAAAAGAAATGAATGGTTGTACTTTTGAAGTTTCCACAATGAAAATGGGGAAACAAAGAATGCAGATTTGTGTTTGCGTACACTTTTAATACTTTGTCAAAATAATATTATTATCTCATGTCTAGTATATATTACGTGCGCATATATGTGGTGGTAAGATTTTAAAATGTAAAGAAACCTAGTTTATATGTTTTTGATACGATACAGACGGGGACATAATATTATCACGCAGTTACTATCAGTTTCTGTGTACTTTAAGATCACTTGCTAATTCCTCTAATACATATACCTTACTAAATAAAATTAAACAAAAATTCCAGGTAACCCAACGGAACAGAAGTTAGCGACGAACGTAGTGTTAGCGCTGGTCACCATACTCCAGGACCTGAGCGTCACCTTCCGTACAGCGCAGTCAACGTACCTGAAGTCCCTCACGTCACGAGAAGAACGCTCCAACGCATACTTTGAACTCCCAAACTTCGAGGAACTGAGCCTCGACGACAACGAACTCCTCCCAGGTTTGTCCAACAACCAAACAGACCTACTATTCTCCCTCCCCAGCACTTCTGGCACTCAGAAGTTTGACGATAACGATGACTTCTCAAGACCAGCTCTCAACCAAAAACAACTATTACTTATGCAAGAAGAAAACACAAGAGATGTAGCGGAGAGAGAAGAAGAAGTGAATAAAATAGTTCGTTCTATAGTGGACTTGAATGATATATTCAAAGACCTAGCACATATGGTTCATGAGCAAGGCACGGTGCTTGATAGGATAGACTATAATATAGAGCAGACTCAAGTTCAGGTTCATGAAGGGTACAAACAGCTGCAGAAGGCGGAGAGGTACCAGCGGTCCAATAGGAAGATGCACTGCATCCTCATACTAGGACTCACCATCATAGTGTTAGTAATCCTCCTCATCATTGTCAAGAGTTAGTTTTGGAGGTGACAGCAGAAATTGCCTTATTTTACGTAGTCGATTGGCCGAACGGCTGGACCGTGGATTCTTTATCGCTTCACCTTCAGATGTAGGACGGAGTTATTATTTCCTCAGTTCTTTAATGTACAGCAACTGATGGTGGATAATGCACAGCGAGTTAGAGAGAGATCATTGGCTAATATCAACTAAGTATTCTCACAGATCACCCATGGATTGACTAAATGAATGGGGTAGACGACTAATTTTTATTTTAATGTCCGTCTGATAGATTATTTAAAAACATTAGACACGTATTTTTTATTTTCTCACAGAAACGAATAGTTTCGAAGATATATTGATTTGAAATGTCGCGTGACGTCACTTCTCAGTACATTTTATACTAAGGAATGACGTTTTAGCCCCCACTCCTAAACTTTGATTCGTTTTATCTAAGTATTGTTTTATTATACGACAAAATAAAAAAATACGTGTCTAATATTTTTTCATTACCTAACTTACGGACTAATTATATTTTTAATTTTCATACCCTGTCATCATCCCCATTGAATATCTCTCTTTTTTTGAACTCCTGTATTTTTAAAGCGTTTATACATTAAATACCTGATGTTTCAGTTGCTTGAATTATATTTTAGTTAACAAATTCCATGTACAACATAAAATATTAACAAAGACATCACCGGGCTTCCTCTGTCATAATATTAAGATATATTATAAAAATAGTGTTTGAAAATCAAAACGGAACTCAAGTGAATTAAACATTTTGGAACTTCATAAGATACAAATAATAATAGTTATCCTGTTTGCCTAGAATGTTATTAAAGTGTTAAATCTCGTTAAAGTTGTTGAATGAAGGAATCCGATTGTTATATAAATTATTTTAGTAAATTATTGTCTGTATATAAGCAAGCGACCATATTGTGTAAGCTAAGGAATTATGGAACAAGATACTTAGATTGAGCTATCTGTTGGGACCTATTAAATTAAGCAAAAATTATTGCGAATATTTTAAGTTAAGTATGAAATTATTTTAATTTTGTATCCAATTATTTGTTACACATTCCAAACATTTGAGAATTATGGTTAAATTCGAAAACGTCCTACTACAGGGCCTTGAAAAAAGTTGTTGATGAACAGTAAAAAAATCTATAAAAACTTACAAATCTTATGCCCTTTACAGAGTCGGTAGGGTAAAATTCGACCCAATCAATTTTATATTCGACCACACTTACCATAATAATATTGTAAACTAACATTTTTGTGTTGGGGTTTATACATGCCCTTGGACAGATCATCATGATCATATCAGCCACAGGACGTCCACTGGTGAACATAGGCCTTCCCCAATGACTTCTAGATAGGCTAGTAGGAAGCGGCCTTGCATCCAGCGGTTCCTTGCGACTTTAATCAGAGCGCCAAGCACGAATAATTATCGCATTCGTATCGTAACAGTATCGAGCAAATTCGGCGTTTTGATTGGTTGGTTCACTGGAGCCGGCCAATCAGAGCGTCGATTGCGCTTGATACTATTACGTCACGAATGCGATAGGTATTCGTGCTAGGCACTCAGGTGGTCTGTCCACCTTGCGGATGGACGTCCTTCGCTGCGCTTGCCGGTACGTGGCCTCCACTCGAGAACCTTTCTGTCCCAACAGCTGTATGTCGGTTTTCCTCGCTATGTGCCCAGCTCATTGACACTTCAACATTCTATGGACAGATACTATGATCGTAATCGGATGCATGCACTTCGCAGCAGATAGACATTAAATTTTGAAGTTTAGTTTCTGTATTATGGTCCAATTTTCCCAATTTATAGGTGTTTAATTTAATTTTAATATTGTACTAAAATAAATACGAAATGTTGGTCCCAAAGAGTGTCTCAATCAAACGATTAATTGTGTAAACGATGCACACGTTCTAGTCTCTAGGTATGTACATTGTATGATATGTAAGTATTAGTTAAGCTGTATTTATTTAAACTAAACTATTATTGGATGTGTGTTACTTTGTACCTGGGCAGATAATGTTCATAGACTTTGTAGTAATTTCACAGTCGGCTTATTGTTTTGTTGCAGAAATTGCTTTTAACCCGTCGTGTGGCTAAACGTGGATCCACGCGAGACACAATGTATTTTCTATTGTGTCTCATATACAGGCATTCAAGCGTTGTAAGCTACTTGCCAGACAACGACAAAGACAACTGATCAAATGATTTTAATTTGTCTGTGTGTAATGAACTTTATTCAAATTCATGTTATCAAATGTTATGAAATTACGTGCATAATTTCTTGTATTGAAATATATTAAGATTTATTACAAAAAATGTACCTATTAGCCTTTGAAAAGGCTGCCTCAAACTTGGCAATAGAGTTTCAACTCTATTACCTAACTATGCAGTAGAAAATCTATTATAGACTCTATTATAGACACTTGTGTAGGTCTCTGGATTTTTAATATATTTTTTTTATATTATTCTGCTCAGGCAACGTCGTTGCTTGTTGTTAGCATTGTTATAGACTGTGTGAGTGTGTCTGTGTGCCAATGTCGAATAAAGGAATGTCAAAAGTGTAATTTATTTGTTAAATACTAAACTATTTGTCACCAAAATATTAAATTATTTGCAAAATATTGCATTATTACTTAATCATATTTTTTCATTTACACATTTTAATGAGTAATGGAAATAATTGCTCGAATTCTTGTAACTTTTTTTTATTATTTGCCTTGTTGTCACCGCTTCAAAATTTTTTGAGTCAAAATTACTTGAGGAATTAATCAAAATTCCTATATATATATTGAAAATATAATTAATCAACTGTTATATACACTTAACTGTATAAACTAAAATATAGTTGTAATAAATGAAGTGTAAACTAAACGCAATAAAAAGATGGCGCTGTAAAGCGCCAATGTTGTTAGAGGATATTCTAGATTGCTCCCTAAATGTACTTTTGTATTGTACCTAATGTATTTATTTACAAAGTTGTGTAAATATTGTTTACTTACCTATAAATGACATCAAAGTGATAATATACTGCAGAATATTCCAACTATATGTTGTTTTTATTATTCTTTGATAGAGTATGATCTAAGCCTTTTGTACCTGTCGCGGAAAACCTAACGGGTAACCGGGGATCCGGCTCGATGCGCAGGAGAAGGAACGGGGTGGTTTTTAGTCAGTAAGAGTCTGACACTCCCTCCTGCCTCACCCAGGCGGGAGCAGTAATTCGATGATTTTCCCCCCTTAAAAAAGGCCTTTTGTACTTATGTCCTGTATCTTTAATGAATGTGTAATGTATTGTTCATTAAAGGTACAGGACATAGGTATTAAGTTCAATATTAAGTTACGTTAATTAACAAAACACCACAAACAAAATACCATCCCATAAATAACTGGATGGATGTTTGGCGCATTGGCCAGGCGTCGCTGATGACCAACGTGACGTATCGCGGGTTTGATTCCGCCCTAATCGCCCAATATCCCTTGCTTGGTATTGGTAATCGCTTACGACCACTCAACTAAGAAGATCAAACGCCTTTTTCTTTATATATATTATACCCTAGTACCTAGGGCCTAGTTGGTACTTAGCTCGTTTTATTTAACACGTGTACTTATCTTGGTTATGATTTGATGATGGACGTCATCTAGGCATGTTAGGGAGCGTGGGAAACTGACCATTATTGTCACTAAGCATTCCAGACAACGGACAAAATTCCATACCTTATTCTTATCTAAAGTACAAAGGTCCAAGTTCTCTATTGTCTTGCTAACGACCAGTGCCATCACGTAGATAGTTGGGGAGTGTGGAAAACTGTCTAAGTATTTTTTTATAATAACTATCGTGAGACATACTAAATTAACTAAAATCGCGGGTTACTCACGTGAATATACTGAGAAAAGAATCTTATTATTATTACCAATAATTCCAGATAATGGACACAAATCCAGACTTTATCTTATCAGTAGGTTAAGTTAAGTATGTAAGTCCAGTCCATTGTCTACTAAAATACCGTTGTACACTTCCTCACAGAAAAATCTTGTTTGCTAACATACTTTAAATCAATTTTTAAACATACCTCCTTAAAATAAGTGCATAGCAAAGAGTATTCCGACAACATTGAACTTTCCTGTTGTGATACCTACTTTACCCTTCAACAAGATCACAAAGTTTTGATATGACCCATCATGAGCCGAATAAGTCACAAATTGAGTATACCTAACTGCACGAACAATGAACCACTCTGCTTACCACATTTCTTTTTAAAGACGTATCATGATATTAGGTACCATACCACATCATTCTTAGGTACTTCTCATCTGAAATTACGTAAACAACCCTTACTTACCTATCTATCATAAATTCATAGTGAAGTGGACTTCAAGTGAATGCATTCGATTCGATCGACCCACGCGATGCTTTTATTAGATCGAGGTCGTAGGACAATAATTACGAGATTGCAAGCATGCGCGTTACATGTGGGCTCCCACACTCCGGGCTGCCCCATATACTAAGTGACCTAGTTCCAACGTCCGTTACTATTTGTCTTTCAATTGTTTGAGACTATAGACGACGGTGTCACCCACCTCTGCGGACTAACGTAGTTAGCTAACCGTATTTAAAATGGTCATGTTATAATGAGTCATTTAGTATTAACGTCAATATCATCTTTTCTTTTCATTGAAGAGTTAGTCAGATGTTCAATAAGTCTAGGGCCCTTCTCTTGTCCAAATATAATTTCTTGGCACCTAGTTCTCGCATTACTCGCCCAACATCTTTGCGAGTCCCATATCCCGCGTAAATCGAACTTATAATCGTTATTATTTTTTACAAAATAAAGTCTTTATAAAAACTTGACTGACTAGTTTGCGGGGTCATTATAACTCGTCCTTCGTCTGACCCTGGGCATCGTGCTTGTTACAATGTTCTAGAGACATAAGTTTATTCTAGAAGTTCTCAATTGTCTAGAGGTCACATCAGACCCTAGGTTTGTTAAGGTTGTAGTATAATTTGTTGCATTGGCACAAGCCAGTAACATTTTCAAAGGCATCACTTGCTAAGATAGAGCTGTTTATCTCTAATAATTACTGGGTTTATTTGACAAAACTTCGCAACATACAAATTCGTAATGAGGAGAAAGAAAGCAAACAAGTCTTCAATTGCACTAAAGAATTATAATTGTCAGTGATCTCATTTTACAGACACAACTCCATCAGCTGAGCTATTGAGCTGACGAGCTCTACAAACCGTGAAACACAAACTGGCTAACACAACTTGTACACAACAGAGTTAGGTTCAATGAAAAAGTAACAGCAAGTTGCAGTTAAAACATTAAATCAATACATTAGCAGATATAGTACCTTAACAACTATTTAGTTTTACAATATAATTTTGATATTATGCATTCAGGTAATACTATCACAGTCATTAACACCTATAATTTACTATCTACATATAGCCAAGTTTAGTCAAAATGTGAAATTATAACAAGCTGTAATAAAGTAGAATCCACATTAAAATGAAAGGTAAAAGAACTCGTCAGCACAACCTCTATACAACCATGCAAACATTCAACTCACAACACAAAATACAACGCAAAATCAAAAATATGTATTTCTTTAATGATGACAAACAGAACACAAGTCTACTATGAGTCTCTGTGCTTATTGTAAAATTCATCTACATATTTCTTATACGCTGGTTGGTTTGGCCACAGGTACGATGCTTGCTGGTTTAGTGGACTGTGCGTGTTTGGCTCGGCTAGGAGGCTCTGGATGGACAGCAGCACAGTACGGACATCATACAGAGCCGTCCACTTGTCCTTCAAGATATCTAAACATATTAAACCGCAGGTATCTACATTAGGGTGAAAGCACGGAGTGATGAACTTCACCATGGGTGGGGCATATGGATATGAGTTTGGGAACTCTAATGATAGTTTGTACTTGTGGCCTGCATACACTGTATCCTGAGGCCCATTTATTGTGCCTATCCATTTGAACAGGTTCTCACTCTCCGGGAATGCAGATATACCTTTGTCAGCGCAGCGCATCAACTCCATTAATTCCTTTTGCAGTCTGCCAACAAAGAAAAACAATAATTAATTTAAGTATTGTGACAATGGAGACCTCAAGTCTACACTGAATGATAACAACAATGTTATGATTGAGTTTAGCTTGATTTCATAGTTCAACGCATTTTGATTGTGGATATAGCAAAACTCGAGTTCCGTCAGCTTGTGCATGATGTGTATCGAGGTCAGAACACGGTCAGAAGGTTCTTTTTTGTGAAGATACACGTCACTGACCACAGCAGACAATTTTATTAAGTCAACGTCAACTTAGTACTTAAAGTGAAACCGTTAGGCCTCCAACGGTTTATAACGTTCTTAGCTTCAATTTTGAAATTGTAACGTAGTATTCAAATAATTAGTACTATAAAGTGCATCGTAACAAGAGAAGAAATTAGATTTACACGAGTAACAAAGCAATTTCAATGTCGTGTTACTTACCGTTTGCTCACAGCATGATTATCTTTTAGTTTTATCGTATCTTCATTTTGTTTCGCTGGATTTGACGATGATGCGTAGTGTGGATTAATATTTTGAGCCATAGTATGTGGAGCAAACAAAATCAGATGCCTCCAATTCCACCGAATTTCTGTTAGACGAAGACAACTTCCTGTTTAATTTTAAAAAGCTCAATTTTTATTGGATACTTCACACACATTTGACAGCGATACGTAATGGCGGCAATCTACGTAGAAATCAGCGCCATCTAGACCCATAAAATCATTATTAACAAGCACAGATTCACAACAGTTATCTTACATAGTTCATTCAATAATTTTGTTGTAGACTAGTAAGTAGTCTATGACCTAATATTTGAGTTGTGATCTTTTTTATTGTTTTTCTTAAAGAAACAAGTGTCGTGGTATTGCGTGGCGTGAAGCCGTGGCCACCAATCTGATGTAGGTTTGGCGACCTAAGCGAAACGTCATGATCTACTAGCGTCTTTTGGCTTAGCCATGTTTCAAAAAACTGTTTCTTTATTTTAATAGCAATACTCACTTAGCAAAAGCAGGATTCAATATAATTATTATTCAACAGATACAGACATGCGACAGGTGGTAGACTAGATCATTAGTCTTTATTTAATTTCCCACCGTGATGATGAGGTTTTATTAACCGACTTCAAAAAAGGAGAAGGTTAGATTATAGTTTTGGTATCCAAAGCATTAAAACCCGTACCTTGGAGAGTCAAAGATTCTCTAAGATTCGTACGTATACTTTCGATCTAATTCGATTGCTATAAATAAAGTTATGTAGGTATTTCAGGTGATCGAAGACCTGGCTACTTCCGTAGGTAAAGGTTAAGCATTGCCATTCAACGTGGCAATGCTGCCAGTCTTTTGGGCACCTTACCTCACGATAGCGATAAGGAAAATTTTTTTTGATGCCTACAGCCTAATATAATTTTTTAAGGTGTAAAAATTTTAGTTTATAGGTATTTGTATTTTAAGTTGTATATATTTAAGTTTATCTATTATTATTAAATGAAATTTATGTAGGTACTTGTGTTACTGTGTCTACAATAAATTATACTTATGTACTAGTTTAGTTAATAAGAAACAAAAGCACGTTGATAAATCATTAATAATGAATTACCTAATTCGAATACTTAGTTCTAAGTGTAAGTAGTGCGTTCCAAGTAATAAAATTGTTGCTTTGTCAGATTCACTTTCACTTTCTTAAATCATTTGAGCGTGAAATTAAAAATCAGTGACGGGATTATTTAACAGAAAAGGAAAAGTGGAGCTTACCAAGAAATCTATTTAAGATGCTGATATCGATAATTATGCTTAGTTTAACTTAACGTTTTGTTACTTAACAGTGTAACTTGAGAAAGCTTTATTTTTGTTGGAATAAAAATGTTTAAAGTAAGTACTAAAATATATCTTCACTGTTTTTTCCTGTTTTACGGTTTATCCGTACAATAAAGTTTTCCTTTTCTTCGGTTGTGATATAAAATCACGATTTAAAAAAAGTATAAATAACCATAGAGTTCATTAATGTAATAGTTCATCAAATTCCATTCGGTCTTTATTCAGTGTTCTCAACATTAGAATTTTACCACTAAATTGGCTAAATAATATGCAGTGGGAGCAGTATAATTTTTTTCTAAATAGAATACATCTTACTCTTCTATTATATTCCTAAATTCTTTACGTTAAGCCGATTGTTATAAATATCATGTTAATATTTTTTAAATGAAATTTGCAATGACGATCGATTGAAATATTTTGACGTCAAATCGTCGTTGTTATTAACCTTATCACTTATTAAAAAAAAATTGTAAATAAAAAAAATTGAATATTTCCCAAGTCTATTTGGCATATCTTATAGTAATATATTATTATCGAACGTTGGCAACCTTGGACATATGTCCACAGTCCTTCACTCCCTCCCTAATTCATTCATTCATTTGTTAAAGTGCGTCACTCTACTGATTTTTTGACTTGACGTCTTGACGTCACGCACGAAGTTAGTCATAAGTCTGTCGCAACGTAAATACGTTCGTGTCGTAAACATTGTTTGAGAAAATAATATTATATTAGAACCGTGGTGTTAATACCAAAGTGTGTTATTTTAAAACAGATCATTTAAAATTTCAAAATGCCTTGCGTGGTTATTTTCGGAAAACATTTTGCCACGGACCTGGATTGCACGGATGTGTTATCGTTGAAACGTGAGATTTCACAAAAACATGGTGTTCCAGTAGAAGACTTGTTGGCAACGCTCAATGGGAGGCTCGTGTCTGATGATTACGACATCAGGACATCCAACAATGTGGTCCGGTTGTCTACTAAACTTGTTGGTGGGAAAGGTGGGTTCGGATCTATGTTGCGTGCTATTGGTGCACAAATAGAGAAGACCACGAACCGTGAAGCTTGTAGAGACCTCTCCGGGCGTCGCTTGCGCGACATTAACGAAGAAAAAAGGCTAAGAAAGTGGTTGGAAGGCCAGGAAGAGAGGGAAAAAGAAGCCGCTGAACGAAAACAGAAAAAGCTTGAAAGACTTGTGGCAGAACCAAAAATTGAAGTGAACTTAAACCCTAGTTACGAGAAGGAGCGTCAAGACCTCCCAGAGCGTGTGAGCTCTGCAGTGGAGGCTGGGTGGCAGGCAGCAGGCTCCTCAAATACTTTGAAAAGGAAGTCTGACAGTGACAAGGCCAAACCAAAGAAAGCCAAGCTTTGGATTGATGCAGACTTGTCTGACTGCTCATCTCTGAGTGAGGATGAGGAGGACGAAGAGAAAACTTCAAGTCCTGGTCAGCAAGTGTCCACAGACAGTGGCAATGAGTCTGACAAGGCATCCACAAGTAGTAAATAACAGAAAATGTGTGTAAATGACTGTGTCTGTGTAATCTGTGGCAATGGATAACATTGAATTTAATTTTTGTGGGAAATTATTTTGTAATTATTTATACTGTAAATGATATCTTAGTTTAGTGCGTCTTTTAGTTGCAACATGTTTTAAATTGCAGGTTATGATTTTACATTATTTATATTATATAGATTAGAGTCAGGCGATACTTTGCATAAATCCATGCTACACTAAAAACGGGCTACGTGCATATTACCTTTTGCAGCATGCAGTATGCAGCACCATTCTATCATCTGCAAATAAATGCTCATAGAGCAGATATGTGTCAACATTTCCTGAGAATGTTCTGTGGAGTAGTGAAACAAAATATGTTGAGTGTGGTTCGAGTGGTGTGTTGCAAGCCATGTGTTGTGTCACATCTTTGCTGTATGAGCATTTATTTGCAGGCGGGAAGACACTGCTGCATACTGCATGCCGCAAATTCATTCCTACTGCGGAATCAAAACTAAATATTTACCCAGGTGGAATAATATAAGAACCTGTGTAAAATATTGGTAATGTTCAGTCTTTTTTGTAAGTTACATTGTAATACTGTTTGATTTTTTTTTTGTAATTATTAAGCTGCCTCTTACTTTTGTAAGTTTTGATTGTAAAAAATGGGATTGATAGAATCATAACCATTTTTTGAACCTAAATTAGTGTTGTATAGTAGAATATTGTAATATTACAACTTGAGAGTGTTAATTAAGTCTGTTTTGTTATTTTATTTACTTCATGTAAATTCAGATAAAGATAAAGATAATTTTATTTGCAAAACTGTATTTTTTTTTGTAAATATATTATTAGCTTACTTACTAAATTGTATTTTTATTTCTAAAACAATATAGTTTAAGATAAGAATATCCCTAATATTAGTTGGTAGTCATAAAATAAATCATACTTAAAATATTTTCATTAAATAAGTATTGATTACAAAATGAAGTTGGTTGATTACTATGATTAATTACTTATTAGGTATGACATAATTGATATTGCACATTCCAAACAGGCACTTAAATTAGGGTAATAGGGTAGTTTCCTAAATTTTGTTTTAATGTCCGGCTGGTACATTAATTTAAAACTTTAGACATGTATTTTTTCTTTTCTCACAAAATGAAATACTTTCGATGATATTTTAATTTGAAACATCGCGTGACGTCACAGCGTATCACATTTTGTAGCACGTTATGACGTAACAACCTTCCACTCCTAAACTTAGCGCCATTTTAGTGTGCGTTACCCAGGCAGGCCAGATGTTGTCGAAAATGGTCATTTGAATCTTATAGATGATAATGGTAACTTCCATACAAACCTTACTCATACAAACTTCCATACAAACCTGCCATTCTCCTTTGTTGCGCTTATAGTTTTTTAATTATTTCACAAAAACATTTCCTTCTGGGACGACGTAACGTTACCCCAGTCAGACCTATTTTTTTTCTAATGGGAATATTTAAATAATTACTAGCTATAAAATTTTTCAATCAACAAATTATTATTCTACGAATAAAATTGACATAATTATTATCTACCTGATTTTGTATCCATGGAAGAATACAATTTATTCTTCCTCTGATAATGTTAAGAAAATAAAAACTAATAACAAACAAAAAGTCAAAACTAAAAAGCAAAAAATAACTATTATTAGTACTGATAGGTTACCCACCCACTGATAGGTAAGAAGTCGGTGCCATAAACAATCGGCCGAACATAGTACCTCCTCCTTTTTTTGAAGTCGGTAAAACATCGGCTGGGAATACTGAATAGCAATCTAAAAAATTAAAAGATTTTTCTAATCAGTCCCTGTGCTTAGTTAACAGTGGCGTAGCGTGACACGGCCGTGCCGTGCTTCCCGCGTAAAAAAATATTTTTTTGGAGGGACCCTAACTAAAATATTTTTGTTTGAGAGTGTCGCACAATGGTTTAATTATGTATGTAAAAAATACAAGCACAATATTTTCACGGTGCGTTTTACGCCCGCATGGGTTGTGATTGTTTGCGGCTACCGTTGCACCGGCAGGCGCGGCCGGGGTCCCGCAGCCGTGGCGTGTTACACCCTCGCGCTCTGCTGATGGCTTCACAGGGGATTGCAATGGGAGGGCCGATCTGGAACAGGCACGGGAAAGTGCCTAAAATACTGTTGAACAATCAGTTGAGTTCCATATGGTTTTTTCGTGGCCATTTTGTTTAATTATCTATGCTCCCTATTTCTTAAGATGTTGCAAGCCAAAATTAGGTCCTATTTCTTCAGCTCCTCTTTTCCTTCTTTGGGAAGCAAATACCTGATATATTCCGGATATTAATGTTATTTAACTTGCAGAGGAGCTTATGGACTGCGCTGTTGCTGCTGTGTCTGCTGGTGCTGGCGGCTGCGAGGCCTCAGGACTTCGATGATGATGATGAGGACCACGGCCACGAGGGAGCTGACGACAGGAAAGGTAACCACAGTTCACACTGAGATTACCTTTGATTTTTTTGTGGAATAAGTCGGTAAACGAGCTGACGGACCACCTGATGGTAAGCAATCGGCGTCACCTGGAACGCTATAGGTATTACAAGTACGTTACCGGCTTTTTGGGGATTAGGAGTTTGAGGATTCAGGGATTGGAGAGATTGGGGAAGGGGCAAGGGGCAAGGGGTAATTGGGTCTCCGGTAACCTCACTCACATGACGAAACACAACGCAAGCGTTGCTTCACGTCAGATTTCTGTGAGGCTGTATCACTCCGCTCGAGCAGGCCCATCCCTGCCGAAGCATGGCTCTCGCACACTTCAAATTTTTCATATTCAAACTATAAGTTTTAAGACACGATTCTGATGAATCCTAGAAGTCTGTAATATTTTGTATCTATATTAAATAAAAAATGCATTTTCGAATCAACACAATACGACAATATTCCTAGGTGAAGTTTTTGCGGCTTGCTATACGTATTTGTGTAGGCGTTTTTTAGAATCAGGATGACATTTAGCCGTATCGGTAACATGAATATGTTTCTGTGAGATGTGCTAAAAGGTGTTAAAGTCGTAGACCATAAATTCACAACATTGTATGGTCATTAGGTAGACAATGGACTATACCTAGAATTCCTACCTAAGATTATACTTGCTGATAAGGATATGGTCAGGAATTTAGTCCATTGTCTGGAGTGTTTAATGACAATAATGTTCAGATTCCCACGCTCCCTAACTGGCCTACGTGACGTCAGTCATCAAGTCACCTTACTTTGATGCCAATTGCACGTATTCTAATATTTTTTTATTTTAAATAAATTTTGCCCCACACTAGGTTTTTCTCCTGTATCGTAGGTGCGTTTACAAACATACAATTTCGCATACACATGACACCCAGACCCGGAACAACAATGTGTGGATCACACAATACGTTAGTCCGTGCAGAAATACGTTGCGCAGCGCAGCAGCCAGTTGCCCAGCCACCGCGTCAACTGTGCAGGCTAGCTAGATACAACAACAATTTAGATTCTAATATTAATACTATTGCAGCATTTGTTGGTACAACGTTGTCACACGTATGTGTAAAATGATCTTTCACTATTTACCGTACAAAACGTAAATTATTTGCCTGAATAAAAATAACACTTACAGAATATAAAGCACACATGTGTAGATACACGACACGTTGATTAATGATAGTCAATTCTTGTCTTACAGACGATCCAGCTCGAGTCCAAATAAAGGTGTACAGGGGACCAACAAAACATGATGGATACGCACCCTGGGGATTCTGGGTTAAACAACCTTCGGATGAAGAATAACAATAGTGTATTTAGTATGTAAAATCACTCATTATACAGCGTGGTATTTAGCGACTTTAAAATATTTCCATGGTCGTTATTTTTGTTAAAACCGCTATGGTCATACATGGATCTTGTAACAGAGCAGAAGTATTGGAAACGTAGTTATTAAACATGGTAAATATTTTGTATTATGTTACAATGCTGGTGTAGTATTAGTTTAAAAACATTAGTTAGTAACTATTTCATTAGTTTTAGTATAAATAATACAAGTTGTCGACAGAGGAACGAGTGGTTTTTATATATTGGCTATGTAGTAATATGTGTTATATAAATATAAGAACAGTTTTTTTTTATAAAACCAAAGATTAAATGTTAATTTGTTCTATCGTTTTATTGTTTTTTATTTGTAACTAATAATAATAAGTTTAGACGATAAGCATTGACCATTCTCGGTAAGTTTGGAGCACGATTGATAAGTATGCTAATGCTAACCTCGTTGCAGAGATAGGTACTACCTATTTGAAAAATTGCTAGGTGCATGATTGTAATGGAAGCTGAAAACGTATGTAGGTATATAGCTAAGTGTCTGTTCACTACCTTCATATGTATTCATATGAAGGTTCGATAAAAATCATACAAATGAAACATTGTGCAACCTAGTGTCACCCGGTGTCGTAGTAACATATTGCAATTTTTCGTAATCTATTATCTATTCTAGTTTCCTGGAATACATCGCTAATAGCGATAAGGCCGCCCTTTGTACCTACTTTCATAGGTTTTCTGTGAGGCCGTGGTATCACTCCGGTAGATGCGGACCATTCGTGCCAAAGCATGGCTCTCCCACACTTAACATAACGTATCATCACGCCTTTCATCCCCGAAAGAGTAGGCAGAGGTGCACACTACGGCACTTAATGCTCTTGTAGAATGTAACGCCCACTTTTCACTGTCTGTGTTATGCAGCACAGCATCTCAGCTCTCCCGCACTTTCAATTTATTATTATTATTTATTTTATTTTTTATTTATTCATTTACATCAGACTACGAAGGTATTACACAATACCCATATTAACTAATATTAGGGATATTTCTATCTCAGACTGTACTATTTTAGAAATAAAAAACAATTTAGTAAGTAAGCTAATAATATATTTACAAAAAGTAGTGTTACACAGAGTTTTACAAATAAAATTATCTTAATCCTAAGAAGTTACATGGAATAAGTAAAATTACAAAACAGGTTTAATTATAAACACATTATGATGTAACATTACAATATTCTACTATACAACAATACTAATGTACATACTAAAATGGTTACTATTTAATTGTAAGCACTTTTTACAACTGTTTAAACGTGAAAAGTTAACAATATGATATGAAGATAAATGCGCACACTGTCTACGAGAGAGAGAGTCCCTCTGTGACTCGAAACTGGTAGAGCTTTTCTCAGTAAATTTACGTGAGTAAATCGTTATTTTTAGTCAATTCATTATGTCTCACGATAGTAATTATAAAAATAGGGACAAACATATCAAACAGTTTTACAATGTAAATTAAAAAATAGACAGCATTACAAATATACACAGGTTTTTAACAGTTTATGCAATTCCCGTGACAGAGACAGAGATACAGATATTTAATTATGTTTACAACTAAAACACACTAAACTAAGATGACACTTTCAATATAATTACAAAATTATTTTCACTCTACATAAACACGTTTTTATGACAAACTAGACTTGACATTGTCACAAATCACACAGATACAGTCATTAACACACATTTTCTGTTATTCGCTACTTGTGGATGCCTTGTCAGACTCATTGCCACTGTCTGTGGACACTTGCTGACCAGGACTTGAAGTTTTCTCATCATCCTCCTCATCCTCACTCAGAGATGAGCAGTCAGACAAGTCTGCATCAATCCAAAGCTTGGCTTTCTTTGGTTTGGCCTTGTCACTGTCAGACTTCCTTTTCAAAGTATTTGAGGAGCCTGCTGCCTGCCACCCAGCCTCCACTGCAGAGCTCACACGCTCTGGGAGGTCTTGACGCTCCTTCTCGTAACTAGGGTTTAAGTTCACTTCAATTTTTGGTTCTGCCACAAGTCTTTCGAACTTTTTCTGTTTCCGTTCAGCGGCTTCTTTTTCCCTCTCTTCCTGGCCTTCCAGCCACTTTCTTAGCCTTTTTTCTTCGTTAATGTCACGCAAGCGACGCCCGGAGAGGTCTCTACAAGATTCACGGTTCGTGGTCTTCTCTATTTGTGAACCAATAGCACGCAACATAGATCCGAACCCACCTTTCCCTCCAACAAGTTTAGAAGACAACCGGACCACATTGTTGGATGTCCTGATGTCGTAATCATCAGACACGAGCCTCCCATTGAGCGTTGCCAACAAGTCTTCTACTGGAACACCATGTTTTTGTGAAATCTCACGTTTCAACGATAACACATCCGTGCAATCCAGGTCCGAGATAAAATGCTTTCCGAATATCACTACGCAAGGCATTTTGAATTATTAAGGCACTTTTTCAGAATTTTAAGAAATTCGACGAACGAAGTTTACTACACAAGCGTAAATGCGACTGACCACGAAGCACGACTGACTTCAACTGATGTCACAGAGTTACTGAAGTTGTGACAGTGGCGCACCTCTACAAGCGAATGAGTGACCTAGGGTGGGGGCAACTGTTACGTTAAGAGATAAGGTCTGAACCCTTGTCCATTGTCTGGCACGATTGGTAATTAACAATAGTCAGTTTCCCACGCTCCCCACCTTACCTGAAGTCGTCGCCAAGACAAGTGTATCATCATGTACGTTACAGATTGTGACATTGCCTAATCTTACTTCTTACTAATATTATAAATGCGAAAGTTTGTTAGTTTGTTACTCAATCACGACAAAACGGCTGAAGGGATCGAGTTATTATTTCGAACAGGGATAGATTTTGATCTGGAATGACACATAGGCTAGTTTTTATTCCACGGGAAGGCGGGTGAAGACGCAGGATGAAGCTAGTATTATTAAAGTTGTGACGTCACTTCTTTCCCCGGGTGTATGTCACAGACACCGGACAGCAGCGCAATGTTATCCGATAAACGCCTTTTAAAATTATTGTAATATCCATCCCGCCTGCCGATCGTCCATTTTTTGTGTAAAAATGACTATCGCAATGATAGACCATGACTGACGTCACGTAGGCAAGTTGGGAAGCATGGGAACCTTACCATTGATCACTATTTTCATTAAAGATTCTACCCCATGAACCCGCGAGCGCCTTAGAGCGCCGTTAGACGACCATAGATGGGGCCCAGGAGGGCTGGTGCCGATACCGGGGCTCTGGCTCGAAGAGCAGCTGTAGGACGGGGTAAATTTTAGTCAGTAAGAGTCTGACACTCCCAATCGGCCTCATCCAAGGCGGGAACTCAATTGATTATTATAATCACTTAATTAAAAAAAAATGACCACATTCTTATCTAGTTAGAAGACTACTGTTTACCCCGTGACGAAGTAGCGAAAACCGGTGAACAACTAAACATCTTTTAGGCCATGGACCCTCACGACAGAATATGCATCCCCACCATATAGATGTTTGGCAGGCCACAAATACTGTGCGCTTCTCACGATGCTTTCTGCCTCGCACAGCAAAACTGTGGAATGATCTGTCGTCGGCGGTATTTCCGAACCTATACGACCTTCAAACCTTCACGAAAAGAGCGTATTCCTTTTTAAAAGGCCGGCAACGCACCTGTGACTCCTTTGGTGTTGCGGGTGTCCATGGGCGACGCTGATCGCTTACCATCAGGTGATCCGTCTGCTCGTTTGTCTCCTATTCCATAAAAAAAACTAAAATACCGTTACACACCTCTTTCTATACATTTACATAGATTTGTTTTTGGGACAAGCCCGTTACAAACACCCAAACTGCAACTCCTTGGAGCCAGGATCTACAGTAAACACTACAGATACAACCATGTAAACACCGGAACACTGAAGTCCGGTGCGTCGCAGGGACATGAGTAACTGTCTTAGATCCCAAAACGAAATAAATCACTTTTCATTGTTTTTGCTGTGAGTCCCACGTAATAAGGGGTGAGCCTATTGCCATATACCGGACATAATTCTAAATTACGTGTTACAGCTGAGAATATTTTTTAAAACCCTATAATACTTTGCTCAAACCGGGAATCGAACCCGAGACCCCTTACCCAGCAGCCGACCAATCGGCAGTGCCGAGGCAGTCTCAGCTCTTCCGTACTAACAATTTAATATTATTTGTTTAAATTTTTTATTTTTTTTATTTATTCATTTACATCAAACAACGAAGGAATTACAACACCTATATTATACAATACCTATATTAACTAATATTAGGGATATTTCTATCTCAGACTGTACTTTTTTAGAAATAAAAAACAATTTAGTAAGTAAGCTAATAATATATTTACAAAAAGTAGTGTTACACAGAGTTTTACAAATAAAATTATCTTAATCCTAAGAAGTTACATGGAATAAGTAAAATTACAAAACAGGTTTAATTATAAACACATTATGATGTAACATTACAATATTCTACTATACAACAATACTAATGTACATACTAAAATGGTAATTATTTAATTGTAAGCACTTTTTACAACTGTTTAAACGTGAAAAGTTAACAATATGATATGAAGATAAATGCGCACACTGTCTACGAGAGAGAGAGTCCCTCTGTGACTCGAAACTAGTAGAACTTTTTCTGTTTTCGTTCAGCGGCTTCTTTTTCCCTCTCTTCCTGGCCTTCCAGCCACTTTCTTAGCCTTTTTTCTTCGTTAATGTCACGCAAGCGACGCCCGGAGAGGTCTCTACAAGATTCACGGTTCGTGGTCTTCTCTATTTGTGAACCAATAGCACGCAACATAGATCCGAACCCACCTTTCCCTCCAACAAGTTTAGTAGACAACCGGACCACATTGTTGGATGTCCTGATGTCGTAATCATCAGACACGAGCCTCCCATTGAGCGTTGCCAACAAGTCTTCTACTGGAACACCATGTTTTTGTGAAATCTCACGTTTCAACGATAACACATCCGTGCAATCCAGGTCCGAGATAAAATGCTTTCCGAATATCACTACGCAAGGCATTTTGAATTATTAAGGCACTTTTTCAGAATTTTAAGAAAATCGACGAACGAAGTTTACGGCACAAGCGTAAATGCGACTGACTACGAAGCACGACTGACTTCAACTGATGTCACAGAGTTACTGAAGTTGTGACAGTGGCGCACCTCTACAAGCGAATGAGTGACCTAGGGTGGGGGCAACTGTTACGTTAAGAGATAAGGTCTGAACCCTTGTCCATTGTCTGGCACGATTGGTAATTAACAATAGTCAGTTTCCCACGCTCCCCACCTTACCTGAAGTCGTCGCCAAGACAAGTGTATCATCATGTACGTTACAGGTTGTAACATTACCTAATCTTACTTCTTACTATCTTACTAATATTATAAATGCGAAAGTTTGTTAGTTTGTTACTCAATCACGACAAAACGGCTGAAGAGATCGAGTTATTATTTCGAACAGGGATAGATTTTGATCTGGAATGACACATAGGCTAGTTTTTATCCGACGAGAATGCGGGTGAAGACGCAGGTAGAAGCTAGTATTAAAGTTGTGACGTCACTACTTTTCTTTCCCCGGGTGTATGTCACAGACACCGGACAGCAGCGCAATGTTATCCGATAAACGCCTTTTAAAATTACTGTAATATCCATCCCGCCTGCCGATCGTCCATTTTTTGTGTAAAAATGACTATCGTGAGACATAGGCGAAGGAACCTATTTGCAAATCTTATTTAGTTTGTTTGTTTGAATGCGCTAATCTCCGTAACTACAAGTCTGATTTGAATAATTATTTTTGTGCTGGATAGCGCATTTATCGAGGAAGGCTATAAAACATCACGCTACGACCAATAGGAGCTGAGCAGATCATGTGAAACCGCGCGGCAGTAGCTAGCACATAGTATATTTCTAAAACACTATGTTCTTACACAGGTGGGTGACTTAATTAACAGTCTTATTGGTCTACCATGACAGGGAATTTGTTGGGCTCCGTCACAAGAGTATGTTGACAAAACCTAATATTGTTAAGGATCTAACTATGTAAATGAATAGCATCTATACTTTTCTGTGAGAGCTGTGTAACGGTATTTTAGTTGTTCGCCGTTATTCGCTCATTGGTCACGGGGTACACAATAGCCTTCCGATAAGATAAGGAAGTGGTCTGGAATTTTGTTCATTGTCGGAAATATTTAATGACAATAGTGATCAATAGTCAGTTCCCACGCTCCCTAACTTGATTACGTGACCTCACGGAAGTGCGCCGTAAAGGGCTACGGCGGTTCTATTCACGCGAAATTAGCTTAGTATACTAGGTATTAGCTTCCGGCCGCAGCGTCGCTTGTGCGGATTTCGTACTTCAAAAATGGTGGAGGTTCCCGATTCGTCGGGATGGCATGAGCAAACGGTCGAGCGATGCGCGATACGGGCCAGAAGGGACGGACTTGCCGTAGGTATCTCGAATAAACAATGCTGGGTCGCCGACTTGCTGGGTTTTAAATGTTTTGCTACTAATGACTTCTTACGACTATATCTCAAAAAGTATTCTATTGATACTGTATTAGTGGTAATTTTGATCTACACTGCCCAAGCTAACTAACATATTCATTTAAATTAAGACTAATACTGAACTTAAAGGTCTCTGCACACGTCGCCGTCCCGTCCCGCCACGCCGCGCCCGCTGTGTGCAGACACATTTAAGAAAATATCTCTGAAAATAGTAATCGAATATTTAAGTAAAATTATTTTGTCTGTGCACAAAAGAAAAACGCTCCGAGAACAAACCAATAGGTACCACGTCGTCGCGTAAACTAGCACTTTGTAATAGGGTAGATGCCTATTTTTTATAATAATGTCCGTCTGGTAGATTATTTCAAATCATTAGATACGTATTTTTTATTTTCTTATAGAAACGAATACTTTCGGCGATATATTGATTTGAAATGTCGCGTGACGTCACTTCTATATACATTTTATACGTAGAAATGACGTTTTAGCCCCCACTCTTAAACTTTGATTCGTTTTGTATACGTATTGTTTTATTATACAACAAAATAAAAAAATACGTGTCTAATATTTTTTCATTACCTAACTGACGGACTAATTCGATTTTTAATTTTCATACCCTGTCATCATCCTAATTACTTATCTCCCACGGGACAACGGCGTGAGTTTACGGACCTACGCATAATTATCTATTCCTATATGTCCATACATTCCCAGTATACGACATTGTTACACAATTTAGTGTGTTCCACCCAAAGACTGTATTTCAGCTAAGCATGTTTTCATAACATTACATTGAAAACATTAGAGGAGCGGTAAAATGCTGCAATTGAGAATTTTCTTAACTGAATAGCTACTGTTGGGAATGCAATGATGCAACCCAGATGAATTATATTCTTCTGGGTACTTTCCCCACTGACGTCGATGTGGACGAATTTTTCGACGCTTTATGTAAATAGTTGTTTTTGTTTTTTCTTATAATTAATTTTAATCTTAAGTTGTACATATTTAATTTAGTAATATTTAGTTTTTTTTAAGTAATAGTTAGTTTTTAATTTAAGTTTTTTATTTGAATAAATGACAGTGTTATATTCCTATTTATATTATAAAAGCGAAAGTTTGTTAGGATATATGTGTGTTTGTTGCTCTTTGGTCGATACGAAATTTAGATAAGGGATAGTTAGATAGGTCGAAACCAGCAGTAGAAGCTAATACCCAACGCTAGCTACTTAGTACATGGCTATTGACATGTACGACATACAGCCAGCTAAGTTAAGTACCTAATTGGTATGAAAGTGAGAAAACTGAATTGATTCAAGTACAGATGCAATATCTATGTGACTAATTTTATAAACTTGTAATTAATTAGACTTATGTTTTCGGCTTACTCGTGTAACTGTTTGATAATGAACTCGACTAGTTATAAGCCGTGCTAGGTCGCGCTGCTACTCAATTACTACGCGAGAGAGTTAGCCGAAAACATAATAAAAGTTTTAATATCTTATAATAATTATTCCACTACATTATAAAGCTTAAAAGTTTGTTTGTTGGTTTGTTTGAACGCGCTAATCGCAGGAACCACTGGTCCGATTTGAATAATTCTTTTTGTGTTATATAGTCCATTTATCGAGCAAGGCTATAAAACATGCTACGAACAATAACCGTCGAGCAGAGCGGGTGAAAGTACGTGAAAGTTGCTAGGTGTATCTATAAGATTGTGTCGCAGAGAACCTAACGGGTAACCGGGGCTCCGGCTCGACGTGCAGGAGAAGGAACGGGGTGGTTTTTAGTCAGTAAGAGTCTGACACTCCCTTCCGCCTCACCCAGGCGGGAGCAGTCATTCGATGATTTTCCCCCCTTAAAAAAAAATCTATAAGATTGTCGGCTTTATTCTTATGAATAAGAATTATTTTTAAACCGTGAACTTATTTTGTTTACCAGTTTTCTATCACGATATAATCTATAGACCAATGGTTGTACTCGAATGACTACTTAACTAATGAACCACATACAATATCATCGACTAAACAAAACAATGATTAATGACACTTTCTCCTCATATAGTAACGCAATGAACTTCTTGATACTTGTTCCTAAAATGATTAAAACTTGTATTGTTCCGTCCTCGATGCTTATCATACTCTAAAGTATATTAACTTCTGGATATTAAAAAGCCACAAATGCATGTACTAGAAGTAAACATAATTTCGTTATTGAACGAACCATTTGAATAGGAAATGAGTTATTTTGGTCTATATTTGAGTGGATGTTAGTGTGAGCGTCAAGTATTTTTTGTAAGCGGTTTTTTATGGTATAAGCCGATAAATGAGCAGACGGATCATCTGATGGTAAGCAATCGGCGTCGCCCGGACACACGGAACACCAGAGGCGGTATAAGTGCGTTACCGGCTTTTTGGGGATAAGAAATTTGAGGATTGTTGAGGATTCAGGGATTAGGGAGATTGTGGTGGGGGTTATTTATAAAATAACTTATGATTTCAGAAGGTACAATTAAAAGGTAGTTCTAGTTTTATTTTAAACCCTTAACTGAAACAATTTGCAATCGATAGATAAAAATATGAGTGTTATCTATAAAGAGTGCTTAAGCAGCATTTTAGCGCGTTAGTTCAGTGGGTATTAGACATCGCAGTGCATCAGTCGTGTTCGGCATGTGACCAGTGGATAGTGGGCTCAGTGCCAGCCAGTGACCATCAGTGACCATCAATGACTATCATGTTCGGGCTGATCATCAGGATAGTTGCCAAGAAGACCTTGGTCATCTTCAGATACTTTGGTGAGATATTTTTTTTTAAATTTGTGTGGTTTAGTAAGTAGTTATATAGTTTACGAGTGGTGGAAAAGCAAAGCATAAAGTTCATAATTAATATTTCATTTATTGTTATGTAAAAATAAGATGCTATGCAACATCAGTTTACAATAAACTGAAGTGCTACTGAACGTAATTTGATGCGGATTTCGTCAGTAAATAGTCTCTTTAAGGAAGGTTTAAGTGTACAATCTAGTTTTATTTTTCCAAATGCATTCAGCATTTTTCCAAATAAAACAAGACTATAAAATTATATATAAAAAGGCGTTCGACCACTATCTCGCCTGGTGGTAAGCCATAATGCGGTCTACGATGGAGCACGTCGTCCCATAAGCAACCTATTCACTCAGCCCTTGAAGACTCCCAGATTATACCCTTCAGGAAATACAGACTCTGACAAAGAATTCCACTCTTTAGCAGTACGCAGTACGTAGAAATCAAATTTAGTAGGTACAATGTTAGTATAATTACATTCTTACTAATATTATATTTAAATGCGAAAGTTTATTTGTTTGTTGATCTTCCTTTCACTCGATTTAGACCGTTTTTTGAGGAGTTTTTGTGTTTGGAGATAGTTAAGAAGCTGGAGAACGATAAAGGCTACTTATCTCCTTTGACTTCGTGGACGGAACCATGAGTGGGAAACTAGTATTACTCTAAGTTGTTTTATTATATGTAATAGAATATACGATATATCTAAATATACGATAATACTCTAGTACCTACCAGAGGTTGACAAGTTCAATTCCAAGGTAATTTTATGACTAAGTAATATTAAGTATGGTTTATCATCAAAGTTCAGACGAAAGCAAATCAACCTACTCTTATTCTACAATTTTCTTAAGCGATTGTCGACTTTAATACAGAAATGATAAAGGTGAAAATGGTTACTTTTGAAAGCCATTATTGCATCACCTAAGTGCAAGTAGTATCTTGAAATAATTGATGAATGAAGTGTTTAATTCATTATTTCTATAATTATGCATAATTGTGTAAAATGATAAAGTCATTGCGTAAAGTTGTGATTGATAAAAGTGTCTATTTATAGAGTTAATGAAAGAATGAATGAAAGAAAGGAAAATAGTTTATTTATCTATATCTATTATGTATATATAAAATAAAATCGTAGAAAAGTCCAAAATGTACATTAAATATTTTTTTTAAAGAATACTTGGAGTGTGATATGCTATCAATACCGAAGCCAAAAATATGTTTTTTAGAATGTTTTCTGTTTGTCTGTATGTATGTCCGGGATGAACACAAAAAGTACAGCATGGATTTACTGTTGAAAGAGTATCAAAACAATCTATGCTTTTTGTTGTTTTTGATTTCATCTGTTATGTTACCTATATAGATAATTATTGTTTTTGGTTATGTGTGTTGTCTATGATTAAATTAAGTCTAGTTAAAACTTCTAACGTGTTTACATTATTTACTTCAAATTTCGCAAGAATATTACTAAAAGGTCGGGTCAACGTATAGGCTACATATTATTACGCTATCATCTACGAAGTCACGGGCAACAGCTAGTTTAGTATATTTAAATAGTGTTGGGATAACTATGTAACCAGAGATTTTAAGTTCAAATCTAGAGTCAAACATCTTGTCTTTTATGTACTTTCCACAAAATATCAATATTTTGTTCGACTTAAGAGTCAAAACTTAAATGGAGACGGCAGGCTTAAGAATAAAAATAAGAACGTTATAAGTATGATAATTACAGGTAGTAATAATTATAAAAAATAGTCCCACATACATCGCACTACTGTTTTCGGCATGCAAAGTTAAGTTTTACAATATAATAAAGTTAAAATCTTACTGAATGTAAGATTTTCAATAAAACCAATTACTTGCGACCAAATGACCAACAAACCTGAAATAATATTGTTTTATAACTATCGTGAGATACAGTCAATTGACGGTCGAAATGTAACCGTTCATACCATAGTATTTCATACACTAGTACCTGGTTGCATGGTTTCATATTATGTTTTACAATTTATAACGACGATGGATGGTCTCAGGTGCAATTTCCGTGTCAAACAAAAAACTGTCTTCAATTTCACTTTATATATTTTGGTCTTTATAGGTCTCATCAACTATAATCACCAAAACAATAGGGTTTCACGAATATAGTAATATTGTGTTTCAAATTTTCCGTAATCAGAAGCTGGCATATAGGAGTTGCAGCGGTTTTGGGAGGCTGTGGCGGGCTTGTCCCAAAAAAAAACAGAAGCTGGAATTGAATCCGGTATATGGCAACGGCGCCGTCCTATGTCACATTGTGGGTCTCTTTTATTAGTTTACTTAATAAACGCTGGGTTGAATTTGAAGCACCACTGCATACAAATTCAATGGAGGTATAAAACACAGAACCCAGCTAAAGCGTTATTTAGTACAATTGTAAAAGATAAAAAGAGAAACTTGTTTAATGTATAGGCATTCGCACAAGTCTCCTTGCAAGTTTATCTAAAACACACACAGGTATTTGCAAACATTACTATATATGATGACTTGGAACTCTCTACACATACAATATTTCCTGTTTGGACTACAAAGAACCCTTTATATATACATATGTTACAAAGAAATTGGTCTCAACTCTAGAAAGATAACAGAGTACACTTGATTGAAGACATTCTCGTTCTTAGTAATGTCGGTAGCAACAAAATACAGTCAAAACCGTTTATAACGACATCGAAGGGACCGATTAATTATGATCGTTATAACCAATAGTCGCTATAACCAATATCTTTATGCTTTATAAGACAATAGACTGGGCCTCAAAATTTCGTCATTGTACTCGATTCGTCGTTATAAACGATGTCTTTGTAAGCGGTTTTGACTGTATAATAAATGTAGGTGCATCATCTTTTTAAATCTGAGATCAGAGGCCTAATTTTTTTTATGCTACCATCACTGTATTTGCATGCACGTCTTACGGCGTTACGGCACCCCTCTGTAGTCTGGCTCTAAGCACTTACTTGCCTAATTTGCCTTAGAGATAATAGGTACAGCTCTAGATGTCTTGCCCGAAAATGAGGGCCCACCTTAAATTAAATAATTTTATTGAATCTAGTAATAGAATCGAACTGACACTCAAAATGTTTATAGCCACTACACTGAGAGCCAAGAGTTGCTAAAGTTTTGTTTATGAATAAATATTTAACTGTGCTATCAAGTGACGTCACATTTGTCTAATTAATGACGTCATGATGACGTAACTACTCGAGATTACAATGCTGTTTAGTATATTAATGAAGTGTATGACACTGTCCTTTGTTTATATGTAAACATAAACTCATGCTTTTGTGTCGTCTGAGGCCGAACCGACAGAGCGCCACCTACTGTCATCCTTATAATTAAAATACTTTTTGAACTTGCATCATATTCATTCACCACCTGGAGAAATTAGAGTTACAAGTGTGCCAACTGGTTCCTTTTTCTGGGGAAACCTTCAAAAGGCGCCTAGCTTTTTGGGGATAAAAAACTAAGGAGTGTGGGATTTTTACCTCACTAAAACCATCCCTGTGGCCACCCTCAACACCTGTATGGAGGCACCGGGTCCTCTAAAAGAGACCTCATCGGAGCTTCCACGGTGCAACGCCTGTTACGACACATTTCTAGGGAGACGGGTGTCTCCTTTAAGCCATGCTGTGTACGGCGGCACGTGACCACTGTGCCACCGTCTTCTCTGAGAACACAGGATAGGCACCTAGAGTCACTACTCTACGCCCCCGTAGCCTCCTAGCGGTACCCCACATTTTGTCTTTTTTGAGAATTTTACCGTGTGAGATCATATCGGTATTACCTTTTACATATCTTTTATCTGGGTCTACTTTCATCCCTCTCTTCAATTTTTATCATTACTCCACTTTTTATTATAGTCCTTCATTCATTCACACTTTGATATTTATTTATAGTACCTAATACTTGTTGTGAAGTACCGAATGTTGTGACCGTTCGTTATCGCATAACTTCCTCTCGGCAACGGCATAGGTAAAACAATGTTAGTTAAGTCCGGATGCAGACTACGGTATGGGGACATATTAATAGTACATACATATATATATCGTCACACCTGTCTCTCACTGTGGTAGGCAGCGATAATAGAACGCCAAATGACATGATTATCTAGATATGGATAAATACTATTATGCAGAATTTTATGTGTGGAGCTGTGGACCAGGGTAGCGTAAACTTTGAAAATAACAGGCCTACTTATTATATCTGTTTTGTCTTCTAGGCGTTAGACTAAGTATAGTGGACGTTGCAGTGGAAAAATCTTCTGGACATGGGACACTAAGACACTGCCGCACTTGCTTAGAAATTATATAATGTTTGTATGAAAATAGTACAGCTTCTATTTGAGCAGACGAAGTATATGTATATTTATTTCCACCCTAGTGCTGGAGGGTCCCTGGAATCATTTATAAAGTGTTCCTTAATGTTTCAGGTCGTCCAAAGAGTTTCCTACTACTGCTGCCTATAGTGTGGGCGCTGGTGGCGTTCGGGCCCACCATCTGGTGGCTGGCAGTGGAAACCAGTAGACACCTTCTGCTGCCATCCCCACCCACTCAGTCGCTGGAGCACTATCGAAGAAATAGAAGCTTGCACTATTACTTGGATGATATGTAAGTATGATAATGATATTAGACATTGTTTTGGTTCGATTCTCGGATTGAGAAGATAATTAGGTGTGGTTGTTACGTTTTGGATACTATCGGGGAGTAGAAGACGCGATATATTATTTCTAATTCAAACGCCCTTTTACTAGAAGAAGATATTAGTGAAGAAGAAAAACTCAACATTAGCTGCAATTATTTGCATTTATTATTCGTATTTGTTATCTAAAGATAACAAATTGATAGTATTTATTCCAAATTTTTTTAAAGCTCTCCTATATAATTGTTTCAGCCAGACCTTGATTGAACCATCATTACTTCCCTGCACAACCCCAGATGAGATGGTGGTGTTGGTGCTGGTGGCCAGCGCCCCCCTCCGCTTCGACCACCGGCAGGCTATCCGTAAGACCTGGGGTGCACATCTACCTACGTACTTCGTGCTTGGTCTGCAAGGAGACAATATTGATGAGCAGCTGGTCTGTGGTTTTAATAATATTTATTTGGTATAGTTGTTTTGCTTTACAACATAACATAACATCACGCCTTTTATCCCCGAAGGGGTAGGCAGAGCACATTATGCTACTGTGCAATGTAACACCCAGTTTTTACTATTTATGTTATGAGTCCCATGTAATAGGGGGTAAACCTATTGCCATAAACCGGGCACAATTCCAGACTCCGTGCTACTATTGAGATTTTTTTTAAAACCCTAGTAATACTTTGCCCGACCCGGGAATCGAACCCGAGACCCCTTGCCTGGCAGTCGCACTTGCGACCACTCAGCCAACGAGGCAGTCATGCTTTGCTTTATATGACTTTGAATATACGCGTTTGGGTTTTCTATCAGCTAATACATGGTTTTCTAATGGTTTAACTGCTGAGCTATTCTCTTGTGTTTTATTTTCAAAGACTTTTTCGATTGCTATAAACTCACGAGGTCCAGAATTACTTCGGCGTATAATGTCGTAGTGTTTGTGTTTGTCTGTTAAAAAAATGTAAAGAAAGATAAATGTCTGGCTTCAATTCCAGGTAGACAACTACGTAGAAGGAAAGCAGTACAGCGACCTGATAGTCTTCGATTTCTATGACCACTACCAGAATCTGACGCTGAAGACCGCGCTTATGATGAAGTGGACCCTGCACTGTTGTCCTCAAGCTCAGTTCCTATTCAAGACTGATGATGACGTACTGGTGAACCCCTGGACCCTTCGTAAAGTCCTGAACGAGAATGAAGATGCACTACTGCTGGGTAACGATAGTAGTTGATAAAATAAATGTAATGTTCTTGTAAATCAATGGCCGGTTATTTTACAGAATGTAAACTGGAGATAATAATATATTTTATAAACAGCTTTAATAAAAGTTTATATCTTATTAATATTTCGACCGATTGGATTTGAATTTGCAATTTGAAACTATTGACACCACAAAATCATACTTAAGTACGAGTTACTGCTAAACCAATCTAAGATTTTTTATCTAAAGTAGCCATTTTATATTCATACATAATGAACTGTTAAAGATACTACCAATATCTTTATACAAGTCCTAATTGTGCAGGTTACAACAAACGGGACTCGTACCTGCACCGCGACGAGTACAAGAAGTGGTACATTCCTCGCTGGATGCTGCGGGAGGACCATGTGTCGCAGTACCTTAGCGGCACTGGATACCTCATTAGCGGTGAGATCGTCATTTATTGGAAACTTGTATATTGGGCCCGGGAATGTAATCACCCAGGAAACACACAGCTCCCTGTGATTATAAATTCTTAAAGTGATGTCACCTACCAAGCAGTTTTGGTGTTAATCGTAAATTCAACAGTGGTGAATATCTGTTAGTTGTTTACAATTGTTATTTACTAGTTGTTGGCCGCGACTTCGTCCGCGTCTTATCCCATGGGAGCATTGAATCAGGATAAAAAGTCCTATCACCTAAGTCACCCCAAAACCTGCTTGTATACAAATTTCATCAAAATCCGTTCAGTAGTTTCAGCGTGATTGACGGATAAACATCCAAACGAAGAAACTTTCACATTTATAATATTAGTGTAGTTGGTTATACCTTTAAATTTTTATTAATATTTATTTTCACTGTGATATTTAGTAATAGATGAAGTTTCAAAATGCATTTGATATTCTTTATAACCCATTCAACTGAGTTCCTACAACTTATTAACATGCAAAAATGTCTAATTGATTTTTGCTATAAGTTGTTATTCAATGTGAAAAAACCTCCTACTTCCAGGTGACTTCATATCAAAACTATTGAAGAACGCCTATGAGGTGCCGATGGTGAACTTGGAGGACGTATACTTCACGTACCTGGTGGCACATCGGCGTTTAGGCTTGAAGCTGGCTCACGAGCGCCGGCTGAGCCCATACAAACCATGGCTGAAGGCCTCCTGCCTCTACTGGGACCTGGCTTCCGTGCACAGCATGGAACCAGACGAGATGGTCGCCGCGTGGATCAAAATAGAACAATACGGAAAGTTGGACAATCATAGTGATGTTTGTTGGTTTTATAACACGTACTTAAGGGACTTTAGTGAATTGGCGTTGTATTAATATTGTGGCGTTTTGTTATAATTATCTATGTGGTTTTAATACCATTCGGATGGTGAATAATTGTGATCATAGCGATCGTTGAAGACCGGTGCGGTGAAGCGAAAAGAAACGGTATACCAAATGATTTTTTATTTATTAACATTGTTAAATTGTTCTAAACATTTGTGCGAGATTCTGTGTTTGAACAAATAGCGTTGAATAAGGCTGATTTGTTATAAATTAAGGTTTTTAATGTTATTTATTAAGTACCTAAAGTATTGTGTTCTAATTTTCATTAATCCTTTATCTATTATTTCTATCATAGAGATATCAATAAGTCCAGACAAGAAAGTCTGTCTGAAAGGTTTTGTAAAATGAATTCATGTTCTATTACAATAAGGATCATACCTCACAGAAACCGACGTGCGTTGTGTTGTCGTCGTTGTGCGATTGAGGTTACCGGAGGCCCCCCTACCCTTCCCAATCTCCCCAATCCCTGAATCCCCAACGATCCTCAAATTCCTAATCCTCAAAAGGCCGGCAACGCACTTGTAACGCCTCTGGTGTTCCAGGTGTCCATGGGCGACGCCGATTGCTTACCATCAGGTGATCTGTCTGCTCGTTTACCGGCTTATGCCATAAAAAAATCTGTTTCACAATGTCTGGATAGCGGCTATGTACTAGATTGAATGTAGAATGTAATCTATCTACCACATAAGTTTATCGGATATATACAGTACCGTCTTTACCATAGGAGTACTCGGGGTCCGTGTCCAGGGCCCCCTTAATCAGGGGGCCCCGAAAGACCCACAAATTTTGTTCCGGGTCTAGGTGTCATGTGTATGCGAACTTGTATGTTAGTAAATGCACCCACGATACAGGAGAAAATCAAAGTGTGATAAAACGTTAAATAAACGAAACAGTCCTAAAAGGCCCCTTCTTGTGTGCTCAAGGGCCCCAGTATAGCCTAAGACGGCCCTGGGTATAGTACACTTAGGTAGTGAAACAGGCGCTAAGTATAAAGATGTATAATTATATTGGTCTATGTACCTGATATCTTGTTAATATAATTAAGTAATGTCTTTTTGTTTCATAAATAAATGTTTTCTTGTTGACATTTTTTTAATCTTTAATTTATATATATAGGTATTACGATATCAAGTGTGGGAGAGCGATGCTTCGGCACGAATGGGCCGGCTCGACCTGAGTGATACCACGACCTCAGAGAAAACCGACGTGAAGCAATGCTTGCGTTGTGTTTTGTCGTGTGAGTGAAGTTGCCGGAAGCCCAATTACATACCCCCCTCCTCAATCTCCCTAATCCCCTAATCCCCTACAATAATCGAATTCCTATTCTCCAAAAGGCCGGTAACGCACTTGTAACGCCTCTGGTGTTCTGGTTGTCCATGGGCGGCGCCAATTGCTTACAATCAGGTGATCCATCTGCTCGTTTACCGGCTAATCCCATAAAAAACAGTCTAGTCATTTGTATCGTTTTCCTGTTTTTCATTTTGCCACCTCGATACATAGGTAAACCTACAAACTGATATAAACTAATGACGTCACTTCTTCATAGAAAATAATTGGGTACTTGCTAACTAGTCGAATTAAATACTTTTTTCGAACTGTTAAAAACGACAGTTTTCTATAATTTTTTTACGAGAGGGTGTTTTGTGACGTCACGTTTTTTTAGCGTCAAACAGCATACTTATTACTTAAAAAAATGCTGGAAAAATAATAAAACTAAGTTAGTCATAAAACCAATTAATGAAAGTGTGATTATTTTTTAATATTTTATTGTATTGAACCGTCGAAATAATTTATTTTTGACTAAGGCAAGTATTTAATTATAGAACAATCATAAAAAAGTATTGCAGCGAGACCTATCAGCTAGCTCCCACTTAGGAGCGAGGAACAGAGCCACTAGCATTTCAATTTTTTTTTAATTTCTTGATAAATATTTACTGATACTTGTATCAGTATATATTATATAATATTATTAAATAATGGTCGGGTGTCAGGCAATTACATTACATACCTTTAAAAGTCGTAAAGGAATAATTTGTTTTATAATTATGGAGATTTCGATAAAATTAAAAAAATAACTATTTGCTTCGCTTCTTTATTGCCAAATGTAGTTTTCATATTTCCACAATATAATACAAAACAAAACAATTGTTAATTATAATACTAATGAATCAAATAGTCTATCTGTTCCCATCAAATGTTTATTACTAAAACCCTTTCACATTAATTTTAGAACATTCTAGAATATTCTAGCGACTCAGTATACACTGGTGACTGGTAACTATGTCCTATCAGTGCCAGATGTACGCACTGGTCAGTATTGCAGGTGTGTACGATAAGACTGGTCAGTCAGACGATAGTTACTGATGTCGTTTTTTAATGCATTCATACAACACAGGGCCGGATTCGATTACTGCCAAAATGTTGTTGTATTTTTGCTATTCGTAATTGTTTTGTTTCATTTACCTATTTTAGTATTGTTTAAAAAAATAACAGTACGAAATAATGAGATTTCATTTTATTTTACTTTATTTTATTTCAAATACGAGTTGTATTAATGTTAAATGATCTTCATTGTACAAAAAATATTTGAGGTCTAATAATCTTTCACTTTACTACGACTAAAAATTTTGAAGTATTTTTTATTTTGAGTAAAGTCCTCGAGGGACCCGGTATTTGTAATATTTAGGTTTCTATACATATGTCAGGTCCTATGATCTGGCTGTCGCACGTCATGGCTGACGTGTTCCTTTTAGGAAAAAAAAAACATTATATTTACAAAATAAAGATAAAAAAAAATAACTCGCTCGAGGAACGAAGCAATAATTCAGAACATACAATTATGTTAGGTCATTTACCTGAGTTAGTAAACACATCATTATCACAAACAATTCTAAATAAACTCTATAAATTCAAATTGTAATGTTGGATTCGTCCCTGTGCCCTTAAACAAAGAATCAAAGGCTTCATTGAAGTGGAACATTGTATAAAACCGTAGAGAGAGTGCTATCTGCACCAACTGCACCATGGACATCAAACTCACTGCCTTGTTCCTCGTCGTCCTGACTCTCGTGATCCACGAACCCGTCAGCGCTGGTAAGTCCAACATCAAACTTTGATACAACGGAATAAGGTCCATTTTGTATTGATTTTATACATTAAAATGTGTATAAGTGAATATAGACTTTCTTTCGTTAAGGATACGTAATTATATAAAATATTATTGTCTACATGCAATGCCGAAATAAGATAATTGATTTTTTCTTTTGTATTTGCTTTTCTCGTGAGTAAATTCAAGTAAAATTGGACTTTAACCAACTAGTAATAGTGATGTAATTATCTTGTCTCGGTCAGCATGAATTGTCGTGTAGCCACACATGTCAACGTGTCGATGAAGATACAAATTAAGACTAACTACGTTTAACAGTGGAAAATGATCTTTAAGATCTGTTGTAAACGGTTGGATTTGGTCTAAACCAAGATGGTACATTAAACTGTAGTCCGTTAAATTTAATATTTCTATTAAAACTATGAACGATGACTCTAAGTACAAAAATTGTTGTAAAGCGTGCCTAAAGTACTTATATAATCAGATTTAATCTCAACGAATTAAAATCAAGCGAAATTGCTTGATTTATAATTTTTGATTGGCTTGTCTGAAAATGAATTGCATTACAAAAACTCTCCGGTCTTGTTTAAAGTAGGACAACAATTATCCAGCACACAATACCCGAGAAAGTTAAAACCCGCTATTAATACATTAGCAACTTTTTAGACTTTTTCGACCGCCCTGTAATATCACTAGACGAAGTTGGGAAGGAGGATTCTAAATACAAATGTGTTCCTGGTCGTACCGTCCTCAAAGTCGTAGAAAAACAGGAGGAAATTGTTGATCAGTCAGACGATTCCGACGAGTACTCGCGATCAGGGCCGAGCAGGCGGATACATATGTCGGTAGTGTCGAAGGACGAAACTTGCTTCATGTGTGTATGCTCTGCTGACGGCCAACACGAGCACTGCAGCGGCAGACCCGCGCACACTATCAACGAGTGCATCTTGTCGAAGAATATCATTGATCAATTCAACTCCGGTATTCCGTTCAAACACTCCAGGAATTTACCCTACAGAATCAGACGAGGTTTGTGGAGACGGTGCAGCTAGCTATAATACGGGTGAGGTGTACACTCGCGCCGTCGCCCTATTTGTTAGTTAGGACCCATTTTCACGCTATATCACATAACTTGTCATTTAAATTAAATTGTGCATGTCTTAATTACATTATGGAAGTACAAACATCGTATTTCATCGCAGATTATTTGTGGCACAACGACGAGATACCATTCTCAGCTACAGCCAAGTGCTTTCGCGGCCACTCGTACTACAGCAACAGTGCCACAGCTAACAACACTGACGTGGACGTCAACTCCGACGTTGACTCGCTCCTGAACTATAACAACGAGGACATTTGCTACTACTGCGTCTGTTCCGTGGACGGCGAGTCTGTCGGCTGTATACACAGAGATGTGTCTTTTTGCAACTTCTACAGAGTCATAAGATCTGAAAAGCATATCAGAGACAGATACACCTCCTACTTCGGCCAGGACCGGCCCACTTACTTCAGACAACTGTCCTGGAGGATGAGGAGGACCATGGATAATGGCATCTATGATTTGATTAATACTGGTATGATCTTGGTCTCGCTGGGGTTCGTTTGCCACTTCTTTTTTGCTGGTTTCTTTGTTTACAGGTTCTTTCAAATATTTTGATGCTATTAGTGGAACCATTGTCGATAGATTTATTTATGTCAGTGTTTGTAACATGTGTCGCGTTGTGCTGTGCTCAGTGATTTCCATGACTATCATTTCGTTTTAGTTCACGATGTTAAACTAGATGTTAAATAAAATATTTTCTAAAAGGTGGTTACGATTTTTACTATGAATGAGAAAATGATTAACTGAATGCCAAAAACTATTAATGAAAGATCAGACTCAGAAATTGCAGCAAATTTTATTGGCAATGTTGTTAAAATGTCGCCTTTTGCAAGCCAATTGATGCCTGTTTTAACCCGTGTATAAAATACGATTTGAATGTCTAATTCCGATTAATGAAATAAAGATTGGTGCTTGCAGGAGGCGACTCATTGTGCTGCAGCCATCCTGATGGCCACCGGAGACAGATCCACAATGAGGTGCGGAACAAACTGAGGACCTTGAAGAGGAGGATTCCAAAGGAGAACCTGCTGGGAGGGTCGATGAGGGAAGACTACGTGGACTTTATCGTCAATAATGACTAACAACTGCAAACACTCAAGGAATAACAAATGTTGATGCTTGTTTAAAAACCGTTTGATGTGCATGAATATTTATTTAAGATGTGGTTGGATTATTACAAGTTAGAATGAACTGTTGAACAAAACTTTGAGTTACATTATCGAGAAGATAAGATGAAAATTGTAAACCGAATCATAAAATGATGATGGACATAAACGACGATAATTTGAAAGAACAACAGAAAGAAAAGAAAATGAAAACCTACACAAAGCCACTGGAAAATGAACTTTATCTACTGAAGATAACGATGACAGTGGAAGTGACAGTGTATCGATAGTTATGTGGAGTGAATGTGTTAATTTATACTTTTATAAAACCTCGTTAATGTTTCATTAAATGATAATAACTACCGACACTTAATATTTGAATGATTTCAAAATGCCCTAATTCACTTATCTTGATCACTTTCAAAGTTTTTTGCACCCTGTTCATATTTTCGATTACTTATGTCCTATTGAAAGTTATGCACAGTCTATTTGCACAATTTCACTCGTTTTATTGCTAACTGCACCATGAACACGACACGTTTTTTGCTTTACTTTTTTATAGCTAAGAATAAATAGATAGACCTTAAAGAGCATGAGAATGTATATTTATGCAAATGCAGAAATCTGGATAGGAATACATGCCCCGTAAGTGTAGTAAAATAATAGAACAGGATCTTTCTGTAGAAGACATATTAAAAAAATTGTGAACAAAATAAAAATATTCGTTAATTTTGATAAGGAATGTGTAGTGGAAGGATATGCAAAGTATATTCATTAGAGTCATAGTTTAATCTTTTGAAAAAATCAAAGAAACATCAGTATTTCTCTTAAAAAAGTAATAAGTTTTTATTTGATAAGCCGACAAATGCGTAGACGGATCACTTGATGGTATGCAATCTGTATCGTTCATGGATCCAAGCAATACCAGAGGAGTCAGAAGTGCGTTGCCGGCCTTTAAGGAGTTAGGGATGTACGGATTGAGAATTGAATTTGGGGATTGGGGGGATTGGGTAAGAAACATGTCTGTATAATTTAGTAAAAAGACTCACTGATTAATTGCGTCACTCAACACGATCTACAAGCGTAGATATAATATTGTAGGTATAAAGGACAATACTGTATTTAAGGACTAATTTGAAATATTTATTTAATAATGTGTGTTGTGGTGGCCCAGAGTTATAAGACGTTTGTTTCTCATGCATGAGAGTGGAAAACATCATGAGGATAATTGAAATTGCCAACTCGCAATGAGCAAGCGTGGTGATAAATGTTCAAACCTCCTCCGTATGAGACCAGGCCTTTGGTCACTAGTGGGCACTTATAGGCTGTTGATGATGATAATGATGTATGTGTAGCTGACATTATTGTAGTAGAGCAAATGATTGATGACATGCATCGTCAGTAAATAAAATGTGATATTTCAGTAAACCAGAATGCCTCACAGATGTGTGTGCCTTTTGTTTCCGAGTACTCCAACTGTAATGATGGTAAGTTATCATTCGTTTCCTTCCTTCCTTTTCATTTTTTGTCTTTAATTTAAAATCAGTCGCCAGACTATTGGCGAATTAGTTGAAAGCCAAATGACATTTGAAATGACTACAGGCATTCATCTGGAGAAGCCCCTCACATCGGTCGGGAGCACATCAGTTCTCTTTAAAATCAGCTTTCCTTCCTTTATCAGGCTCAATTTTTGTTAGTTATGTTATGAGTCTTATGTTATTGGAGATGAAGCATATTATTGGGTACACTCCTAGAGTGTGTCCTTTTATTAATGAACCCCGTAATTTATTTTTATTGGTTGTATGAAACAATGTCTCTATTATCCTACAACTGAGTGTTGATTTAAGCCGCTCAAGGTTCATTTTTAAAAGTTTCTTGTTGATTTTTGAACTTTTTTAGATAATTTGTGCTCGGGCTGCAGTAAATGTACTTGCACTCGCGATGGTCAGTGGTCGTGTCAAGATGTGAAGGAGTGCCCCCAGGACTTTCCTCAGGACGAGATCCCAGATATGGATGTTAATAAAAAGGATAATTTTGATATGGATAACGATAATGACGTGATATTTGACAGCGCCCTCGACATGCTGGAATTTGGTAAGCTTGTTAAAAACTCGGCCGTTTTTACCAATGTGTCCTAAATTTTAAGGAAGCCGGTTTTCACCGACCTTTACGTGACACTTAATAAGATTACAAGTAAAGGGTTCATGTCACGCTAAGTAACCTTTAGTTAAGAGGTGGTTTAGAGGTGGTTGGTGAAAATGGCCATTAGATAATCAAATATGAACGAGAGTAGGCGATAGAACTGTCATATGGTTAATTGGGTAAAGTTGGTAGATGGTAAGTTTGGTATAAGGAACTATTAGTTTTACTATTTGGATGGTTCAGATGATGATAGTGGATATTATTTTTGATAGAGATGAGCAAGAAAAACAAGCACATTAAGACGTCCAACAATCCGTTAGTACCCGCACCGCAACCAGTGCAGCATAAAGATGAACTGTTAGGTAAGACACATATGGTGTTTTATTATTCTGATTCTAGTGTCACTATTTAATACTTACTCTAACTTTTATTCTATAATTATTTAGACTTTCTTTTTAATCCATTTTTGATGCAGCAGTTGCTGAATGTCAATATTCGCAGTTAAAATTATAATCAACCTTCATAAAAATATCAATATTTGCACTATTCTTTATTTTGAGATCTGACACAACTGTTGAGGATTAAGTCTAACTAAGCTAAATAATTCTTCTTCCAGGTTATTTGGTAGCTATACCACGACAAGAGCACTAAGTCGCACACTATTTTTTAATACAGCACTAATGCACATTACTAATTTAGTTTCATTTTTTATATTTCTTTGAACCAATCATTGGTAAGTGGTTTATATTTTATCAACCCCGTTGTACGTACATTAATGAATCGTGGTTCCATATTACAGACCAGTTCCATGACATGTCTTTGGATGATTTCGTCGATACTTTAAGTCGACCGGGAAGGTCTATTAGCATGGCCAAGAGTCACAAGAAGCGATCAGTGGACAAAGAAATTGAAAAACATGAGCTGAGCGGGAACCTAAGTCAGCCAAGCAACAATAGTATCCACTTCTACAATACAATTGATGAAATAAATGAAGGTACCATTCTTCTAGCATTCAATCTCCTAACTGTGTAAATTGAATGATAAATTAACCTGCTTAACAATATTTCAGATACTCTGAAAGACAGCAATGTAACAGGCACAGTACTTGCCAAGAAAGTAGATATGGTAGTTCCGCTCACGAGACGATCAGACTCCTTCCTAGGTAATGGTAGCAAGGCACTCCAAATAGAATACAGCCAGCCCCACACGTATCATCCAATAACTAATAATAAAATAGAAGCAGAACAAGAAAATAAATTTGATGTAAGTCATGAAAACCTAAAAACAGTTCTCGGGAACTACAGTCAAGAAACAAAAAATAAAGTCGTATCCAAGATTGTCGTCAACGAATTGAAGAAAGGCAGTGAAATCATTGGAGACGCGACTGCTACTGTAATATCAAACATCACTTTTACTCCAGAAAACGACACATTGACAGCAATGGCTTTCATTGCCGGCAATCTTTTGAATAAACTGTGGAACATGGAAAAAGACGCTTCTGCCTCTTCAATGGAAACAGATAAATTAAAACAAGAGAAGATAGCTGATCTTATTGACCTTTTTAAGGAACCCCTAAATCTGAGACAAGAAACGTTCCTTAAAAATGCACTTGAACAGTTGTCCAGTGCAATAGATAAACAAAAGGATGTTAAAAATATTTCCATATGTGAGACTTTTCAAAATGTCGACAATACGGGTGATACAGCTGATGATGAAAAACCGAAAAAAGTTTTAGTAAGTGTGCCATGTACACATAAAGACAAAAAAAATAAAGAGGTTGGAGAAAAAAATACGAAAGCAACTGTCAAAGCTATAACTAAAATACATAATGTTTTAGATTTGATCAGAAAATTTGAACGTGTTCAAGGCAATCTAAGTGAACTTAAACACGGTCCAAAACTAGATTTTACACGCAATGGTACAAGGAAAGACGATAAAAAATATACTCAAACTACATTAACCAATGATGAAAGTTATTCCTTAAATATATTCGGAAATATTTTAGAAAAAATAACAAAACTTATATTACCAAAACGGAATAACAAGAAAATCAAAAGTTTAATAACCAGTCAAAATATATTATCAGGAAACGACCACTTGAAGAAAAAGTTTAAGAAAATGTACAACATTGATTTGACTAACATGACGGTGACAGCTAAAGATAAGATCATTTTAGATTATTTAACTCATGTAGAAAGAAACCCAGATTGTTTCCTAAACAATAATAACAACGATAAACTTGAAAATATACCCACTCTCGAAGGAAATATTTTGCTCAAATTAACAGAATTTTTCAAATTAAAGACATTCAATGATTTGTTGAAGTTATTAGAACCCGAACGCACTACCCACGTCCGTGGTAATGGAACAGACCGAGCAATAGTTGAAACTACTACTTTATTTGGGAGAAATAAACTGTTAACAAATTTAAAAAGTGGGGATCCTAATAAATTTAATTCGACAAAAGAAAAGCTTAAAGCGCATTTTAAAACCATTATTGAGGATTTAATAGAATTACAAGGAACCAAAGGGTTCAATTTAAAAGGCCATATCAAAATAGCAGATGCTTTACCTTGTATCTATAATATTTTAAAACCCTACCGAGAAGAAAACGTCAATAAAAAGGAGAAAGTAATAGAGGACCCAATAAAAAAAGTAGCCAGTATATTTAACGAGTTAAAGAAAGAAATGAAATTGGCACAAACCCGAAGAACTTTCGATAATACTTTAACGGAAAGGCCTAAATCTGCAATTGTGTGGGAACGATTGGTTAAAAACTTAAATAATAAAACTAACTCAAATACCCGCAGGACGTTAAATGTTAAAACTCCGAAATCATACGAGCAAATAAAGAAAATGATGGAACACATTGAAAGTGGCAGCTCCACGTACAAGCAATACGCATTGCTTGTGAAAGTTCCCCCTTCAGCTAAATTGGTTTTACTGAAAGCCTTGGAGCAAGATGTTCAGGCCACTATTGATGGATTCAATGATATTTTATTGTCACTGCCAGATTTAATAAAATTGCCAAAAGAAAAGTTTATTGATCTGGAAGAGTTTATAGACAATACGATAAAAGGACTGAAATTGAGCGAAGAAATTAACGAAAAAATTAAATCCGAAGACAAGAAGGAAGAGACAAAGTATTTCAGTAATGACATCAATTTACAAATATTAAATACAATAAAGAATAAATTGAAGGAGAAACAGATATTTAAGAGTGAGAACGCAAGAAGTGAGGAGAGTGATCAGTTGAGAGTTAGTAGAGCACAGATCATAGCTCAGCTGATAAGAAATCGTGTGAATCAGTATATGAACGATAGAGAACATCAAAAAGGTGCCACTGAAGACATTAACTATGCTATTGCACGGAGGATAATTTACTACTTGGACGTTGGAGATTACAAACTCGCTAATGACATGTTTAAAATGTTGTTTTATCAAAATGACAATAAACTAATGCCTTTTTCTTTTGGTCAATCTGTGAACAAGCATTTTGGTAAGTTTTATTGTGACCTATTTTTGTTATCAAGTAATCGAGTTCAATGAATGGTTTGATTAAAAATCTAATTGTTTTAGTATCATCAACTCTAAAATATAGTGACATTCCAATGCGTCGGATGGCGCAGCCACTTAAGGAGTCGAACCCCAGCTTGATGTTTGAGGATGCAAGTAAAATGAAGGGCAAATACAAGGACTGGATCAACCAGGACCACCTGATCAAACAGCTGTTGAACATAAAGAGCATGAGAATGTAGAACTTGATATTTTCTATACTTTTATATTTTTCAATAAACTTTTGTACATATACATATGTGTGCTTTCATTTCATTAACATATAGCAAAAATAAAGTAATTAGGAATTAAGGAACTCGTTGAATTAGTTGCGTTTTAAATTGTACAGTGTAAGTCTGTTAGTAGTACTGAACAACTTAACAAAAGTCTAAAGATAAAAACGAAAATATCTCAGAAAAAACAACATAATTATTGTACTTCATTTTTGTTGTACTTGACATTAAAATAATCACAGATGAATTCTTTGTTATTCTGCTTGAATCAATAATCTCAGGCTTGTGATTGGTGCCTTCAGCTGATTAATTGGCTTACGTAGTTCTTGATTGGGTGGTCGTAGTTTTCGGAACCACGTTTCCATTCAGCCTCTTCGTTCTAGGTGTTGTAGTTCTCCTCCACATGCGTCCTGAAAACAACCATGGGTTTCAGAACGTATTGAATTCTATAATCAACATTTTTATATAGAACCATGGCTTAGAAGTATGTACAACTACATTATTATTGTAAATTAATTAGTAAGTTGGTAATGCATGCGATGGGTTCCGAAAAAGGCCGTCAATACAATTATGTCAAAGTCAAAGTTCATCCATGGGCGGTGCCGTTTGCTTACCATCAGGTGACCCGTCTGCTCGTTTGTCGTGCTAGCCATAAAATTGTGTGGTACCTATTTCGAAATATTTTAGTATAAGAGTATTGTTATACCACGAGTTAAAGCTATCCTTTTTTTCTTCAATTTATCGGCAAAACGCGTTGCGTTAGCAGTTGCAATTTTCTGGTTTTGTTTTATTTTCGGATTGACCTTATGTCTTAAATATCTTGGTATGATGCTCTTGATACGTGTTGAGAATCCATCTAAAAGAGATCTTTTATTTCTTGAAGTGACTTCTAAGTTTTTCTGCCATTTCTTCATAGCTTCCTCATACTCGTTGTATCTTTTCTCTGATATTTTGTCTAACTTTTTCTTCGCAAGTTGTTTTACTATTTCTGACTTGGGAACCTTTCTGTGTAGAAGCTCTGCGATATCTTTCTTTGAAGTCTCTAGTAAACTGCGGATGTGTTTTATAAACGACCGATTTTTCTTTTTCTTTGAATCAGTTGTATTTAATGGTTTAGTGTTAGTTTCCCCTTCTGTCGGTGGATTTGTTGTTTCTGTTGAATTAGGTTTCAGTGAGTAGTATTTTACTATTATTTGCATTTTGTCGTGAATACCAGTCAAGCCAGTGTTTATTTTATCTATAACGTCATCGTTTACTTTATCTAATGACGGCAGCATTCGTCTGCTGTGAGTAAAATCTATCAAACTTAAAGCGTTATTAATTTTACTTATATCTGAAGTTAAACCAAAATGTAGTAGTTTCATTCTAAACAGGCTAGCGAAAGGAGTGCTGGTAAGAAGATTCGCAGACATCTCCTGCCACTGAATGCCAATCATTTGTAAATCTTTAGTTAAGTTATAATTAGGATCGTGCACGCGTACGCCGGCCACAGCTAGTTCATCTACGTAGAATGAGTTTACAATGTGTTTCATTATTCTCCTCGAGGTTGGTGACAGTGGAGATAAAGCATTAGACTTTGGCGTGTGTTTGTCAATTAACTCTAGGATTTTAATCAAACAGTCCTTTATTGAAATGTTGGCACAATGTCCAACATTCTGGTTCATCTGTCGTCTGAAGTTTCTCATTTTCTTTATCTTTATTTTCTTTGGTTTATTATCCTGCCATTTGTTCTTGTAAACGTATTGTTTCATTGAGTGCAGGAGATAATTTAAGTCATTAGGTACATTTGTACCCTTATGCCGCTGTATTGCTATTATGTCTCGTATTACTTCGAAAATGTCATTTTTCAATTTCAGCGTATACTTGTCATATGTTTTTGTATTTGATCTTCTTGAACCAATATTGAAACCTGTGCCCATGGCAAAGTTGTATATAGAGAAGTATGTATTGCCTGTACTATTTTCTACATCTTCTGGTATCGCACCATCACTTTTAACGAATTTGACGAGGTTGTCTTTGATTTTCTTTAAATTTTCTAATTCTTTTATTTTTTCAAGTATAATTTTGTTGAATGGTATAAGGACACTTTCTTTAAAATCATTGGGTAGAGATTCTCCAGTGATATTGTCCCTGGTGTTATTAGTAGTGTTCACTATAATAGTGACTACTGGCACTAAGCTGGGTGCTGTCATTTTGTTTTGCTCTTCAACATCTCTTTTCATAATGTTGAGTCTGTTGTAATCTATAACATCATTCATGTCTTCCAGTGCGTTAGCTTCTATATCCTTGTTCCAAGTGGTATCATCTGAAAAAATAACATATTCAGTTTATTTTGGGAAATATGCTTAAGATTTTGTAACTTCTGGGAATTTTGAAGTGGTTCCGCAAGCTCCGCTAGTGGGTATTGGATCAACTACTATACTAATTGAGCCATACATACCTTCAGTTGTTTTTGACTTGGCTCCTAGTTGCTCAGCTGCAGACAGTAAATCAATCACAACTTTAGTAGTTTCAGAAACGGAAGGCTCTGTTACACCATCATTTTCTTGCATCATATTCATCATATAGACTAAGTTATCACCATTAGTATTACTAGTGACATTATCTTCATCAAAAATTATATAATCAACGCTAAAGCTTTGATTACTAAGTATATAATCCAATGGTTTTCTTCGACTGTAAGTTTTGGTGTCTACTGCGATACTTCGAAGCACTTCATCGAATTCAAGATAGTCTGTGTCTGTGTTAATCGTTTTTGATACTGTCGATGGGGGTACTTCAGTCATTGGGCTAGTTTCTGAAAATGTGACGTTATTTTTTATTAGTAATGAAGTAGTTTAAAAATTACGTAGTACCAAGTTAAAGAATAAAAACATTACTTTGGCATTGTAGTTATAGTTTAGCAAATACGAAAAATTTGATGTACTCAGCGATGCTAGACGTACAACTGTGATAACCAATAATCGAACGAAATCGAACGATGTGAAAAGACATCAAGACTTATCATACTAATATTATAAATGTGAAAGTTTCTTTATTTGGATTTTGTCAGTCAATTGCGCTGAAACTACTGAACGGATTCTGATGTAATTTGGTACTTAAGTGATAGGGTATTTTTATCTCGATTAATTATGAAGAAATACGTGGGCAAAGCCGCGGGTAAAAGCTAGTCTTAAATATGTCTATTTAAGCGGAGAATGATATACGTATAAAGAGGTAGATTATTACCAGTTGTAGTAGTAGGTGTTCCAGCAGTAGTCGTGGATTCAGTGGAAGGTGTCTCTGAGATACGACGAGGCAGCTTCATGCCATAGAACCACTCGGCGATCTGTTCCAGGGTAATGTTGCTGGCGGTGGTAGTGAACTCCTCCGAGTTATTTCCCACCGACCTTTTTACTTTCTTTGAATGTGCACCTGCAATATTGTGAAGAAAGATTTTACAAATCTAAAGTCTAGTTAGTTTTTTTTATATTTTAAAGATTTTACGTATAATCTTATTATTTTTATCTTATCGATGTAGGGAAAAAGTATATTTTATTATTTCTTTGTTAAATACATAGAGTCTGTTATTGAGTCTTGACTACAAACAGCTAGCACCAACTAATATGATCCTAACATTCTTATTTAACTTCCATCCTATTCGTGAATACTGATAAAATAACTAGCTTACTCTCAATTATCGTTCCCATTACTAGCACAAGGACCCGGTGGTCGATCTTCAGCGGAGGTTCCTTGGAGTGACAGGGCGCTGCGATGGTGCACTTCCAGCGCCCGTCAGCGTTGCACGCGCAGGTCTTACAGTCCAGGCATATATTATCTGTGAAGAACAGTAGCACAATAAGACACTAACGTCCAAGCTGGTGGTTATTTTATATTTCCCAAAAGGAAAGTCTGAATCTAAAGCACTTCCAGTTTACAGTCTACTAACTATATATGATGAAGTTAACATAATGTATTACTAGTATTAAAAGTATTACTGGGTTTAAAAAAAAATCTTAGTAGTAGCACGGAGTCTGGAATTGTGCCCAGTATATGGCAATAGGCTCACCCCCTATTACATGGGACTTATAACATAAATAGTGAAAATTGGGTGTTACATTGTACAGTGGCATAATGTGCACCTCTGCCTACCCTTTCGGGGATAAAAGGCGTGATGTTATGTGTATGTTATGTTAACATAATGTGCAGAGGATGCCAGTGTTGATTGTATTATGAGTAGTTTCAGCAGTGATTTGATCGACTGGTACAAACTTTGGACACCGATCAATATTTGATGGATTCAAGTAACGTACCTACGTATATTTTATTTTTATTATTGTTGCAATCGATCCCAGAGTCAGCTACATCGCAAAATATCGTGTCAATATGACAGCCTAAATTCTTTCGAATTCCAATTTATTCGTCATTGTTTATACACTGGTCCAAACCTGGCCGACTCATCAGCAACATCCGTGCGTAGTTGTAGTGTTTAAAAAAACATTACAACTGTTTGTTCGTAGTTTTCGACAAAGACAACATCCAGAGGAAATGCCGAGCTACAAACTCAAACATGAGAAATTGGTGTGATCTTTTTGTTTTACAAACCATCGACAAGTTTTTTTATGGAATGAGCGGTAAACGAGCAGACGTATCATCTGATGATAAGCAATCGGCGCCACCCATGGACACTGGGGATTATTGGGGATTCAGGGATTGGAGACCTTAGGGCCCTCCCTAAGGTAAACACAATACAAGTGTTGTTTCACATCAGTTTTCTGTGAGGCCGTGGTATCACACCGGTCGAGCCGGCCCATTCGTGCCGAAGCACGGATATCCTACACTTAACGTTTATGACATTCGGCGCTCTGATTGGCTTACTTCAACTAACTGACCAATCAGAGGGCTAAACAAAGTTATATGTCGCACTAGGCCTAGGTCTCTGAACACATTTTACAAACAAATAATAGCCTGGTCGTTCAGGGGAAAGTAGAAGGAACCAGATCACGAGGCAGATCACCTAAACGCTGGACTGATCAAGTCAAATCGGTAACGGGAAACCCAGTGTCAGACTGCGCCAGACAATCCACAAACAGAGAGAGATGGCGGGAGATCGTGAGAAAAGCTGTATCGGCCTCCAACACAAATACGGCCGCCTCAACGTGACCACGACCGCTCTGCCAAGAGCGAAACGACAGAGAAGAAGAACAGGCTAGGCATCTAGGCCTCAATTTGGGTCAAGAAGAGCTACCCTTCATAAGAAGTAATTTGTTCTAATACCATCAATCTATGGGAGACTAGTTACCGCTATTTCAGTACCTGGTCAGCCTTGTATTAGATGGCTTATTTAGTGAAGCAGTCGAATAACTTAAACTATTTAAACGCATAACCAAGACAGTTATTTATGTCCCTGGGACGCAGCGGATTTTAGCGTTCCGGTATTTTCAAGGTTGTTTCTACTGTACCTCTAGATCTAGGCTAACAGGAGTTGCAGCAGTTTTGGGAGGTTGATGTGAGCTTGTTATGTTATCGTTGGATACGTGTCCCAATTAAAAAACAAATAATGCATAACTTTTTTCTAAGAATAAATATTCCTATTTATTATTATTTTACCTTTATTGCAGTTGGTGTACCGGGATACGTATGGTATGCACTCCATATTATTGGACAGTCCTGCACCTGGAATAATATATTTTTTTCATAATTCTATAAAAATCCTCTCTTGCCAGTTTTTGATCCATACACAGACATGCCTGTGAGTGCGTCGATTAATATAATAGACTATGTAATATTAATTGCTCCTTAGTAAATAAAAAATCAGTTAAGCCAATTGCGAGATATTCGCGGACAAATACAAGGTGTAGTTTTGAAACCATGACATTTCTCGGGGGCATGTTATAGAAGTCATAAAGGTTCAGTGTAAGTGAAAATTTCGAGCCAATAGTTAAAAATACGACTATAATAAATCGTTCAAGTTCGACAGTATTTCAGAATAAGCGACAGCAATGTTTCTTATTGGAGTTTTATGAAATTAGGAATAATATCAATTAGGTGTTTGAGTTTGTGTGAATTGAGTTGCGTTATAAAGCTAGTTACAAGACGACGGCGTGTAGTTTGCACTTAAGGATTTCTGTAATTTACAGAAAAATGAAAAATATTTACTTACAATTTTTTTTATTGATTCGGACTCAGAATTAATAGCAGAGTTACCTCCTAGAAAATGACGCGGCTTTAAAACAACACCTTGTATACATATAGGGTAAAATAAGAACCTCCTTTTTAATATCGATTAAAAAGGCTGTACCTTTATCAACCAAGTCAAACACGAGGTCATCAACCTCTTTGCTCAGCTTAGGATTGTTTACAGTTCCTGGCTCGTCATCATCCTTGGGCAGCACGGACTCAGCTTCGGCATAGTAATCACACCGCGCCTGTTCCAAGGTCATGCACTCCTTCTCGTAACAGAGGTTGCACTCTTCTGACCTTCGGAAGGCATTTTTTGAATAGTAGAAGTTTGAACAGCATGATACCGGAACTGGAAAGAAAGAACATTTTGTGAAGTTTTTGTTCTACATTTTTTATGGAATATGGCGGTAATCGAGCTAATGGATCTGTGGTGGTAAGTAATCAGCACTGCCCATGAACACCTGCAACACTAGAGAAAATAAGCATACGTTGCTAGCCATTAGGGGTTCTGAATTTTAGGACAGGTCTTCCGATAACCTCACTCACATGGTGAAACACACCGCGAGGATTGTTCCGCGCCAGTTTTCTGTAAGTCTACAGGGTTTAAATTATAGAGAGTCATTTTTCAAAGGACTGTTGATGTGTTATCTCGTGTTGATGTAGGTATAGAACTGTTATCATTATTAGAATCCACCCATTCGCACGAAGCGTTTCGCGTCAAACTTCCTTGTGCGAACAGCTAAGGAATGAAATTCCTTGCCGTAATCTGTGTTTCTCGACAAATAGTTATAACTTTCGTGTCTTCAAGTCCTGAGTGAACAGGTTGCTCATAGGTAGGCGTGGTCCATCGTCGGCCACATCATCGCTTACCACCAGGCGAGATGGTGGTCAAACATCGACCTATCAAGTATAAAAAAAACTTCTAACTCTAATTAGTCAATTGATACCTAGCTTAGAACCTTAAAATGACGTCAGCGTCAATAAAAGATATTGTGTTATGTGGCGATGTTAAGTAATTTGTTTATAGGATAGTAAGGAAAAGAAGGTTTGTATTATAATATCGTGTAAATAATTTTCTTTCTTGGATTGCATAACAAATAGCCGTGGGATAGTTTAATGGAAAGATGGAAAGCATAATTGTTCATCAGTTTACACGCAATGGGAAATAAGATATAATAGAAAAGTGGTGTAATGTAAAGTTAGTATTAAAACAAACAATTTAGGTAGAAAGCATTTGGTAAAATAATCCCACGTACAAAGGCATAACAGTTCTCCACGTAGTATGTGGAGAACTATTATACAAACCGCTTCAAACTTGTGTGAAATATGAAGTTGAAACTGAATGTCGGTACGCACACAAACCTCGAAGTTATCAACAATAACATGTAATGCAGCGACGAAGAAATGCTTAGCACGTTTACATTTTCACAGTTTTTCTACAGAAGCATTATAATTTACTGCTACTAGTATTCAGGATAAAACTAACAGCAATACATTACGAAACATCGTTCATTGTACTTTATGTTTACAAAAACTGATTACTTAACAATTTACAAGCGTAGGTAACAATTGTAGTTTCCTCCTAAAAGATGAGACTTCGATCATATTGACGACAAAACAAAACACTAGCGAATTATTATTGACATCGGCGACTAAAAACAACAATTTTGGAAAATTATAGTTATACTATACATGAACTGAACGAATCTGTATCAAATATTTTATCGAAATTACATTTTTGACCGAATAAACATAATATTTTCGTCATTTCATACAAAAATAATACCATAATAAAATATAGAAATGCTACAGAGCCGAACTAGAACATACGAATTAAAAAAGACCACAAACTTTAAAAGTACATGAACACATTCAAATGCGTTCTATAAAGGAAATAAACACGGATGTATACAGAAGCTACTGATTACTATGTCTCGTAGTATGAATAGTGTGTATTTCAGACAAAGTTGTTGATATATCGTAGGATGTGTGTGTAAACAAATATGACGTGTCTTACCGGATAGAGCCAGGAGGTAGAGAACACACGCCCATGCCAGCATCGCCGTCAACAATGATTGCCGTCGTGTCGTAACATTACCTACTGTTTTTTTAATACTATTGTTCTTTCTTTGGGGGACGGACTCGGCAAAGCCTGAGTAGTTAATTAACTTTTTCAATACACACACACACACATACAGTATAATGTATCGATTTCAGAAATTTATAGTTGGTTTAAGATTTAACTGATTTAATATTAGTAATTAAGAATTCAAAAAACCTCTGAAAGTTCATTGATAGTACTAAGTGAATACTCGCTCTGATCATTTTTATCTCTATTAACCTAAAATAAAGTAATACTCAATTAACCTAAAAAGTAAGAAAGAAAGAAAGAAAGAAAGAAAAATCATTTATTTGGCAATGACACGCACAGAAAACAAAGAATATAAAAAAATAAAAATACATCTACAGAATACATACAATACATACAGAATTTTGAATAAACAATAAAAATAAAAAAATCTAATAAACAAAATAATAATATTAATTTTAATTTGCGCGTGCTAATGCCAAAAGGGCCTCCACCTCAGCATACAGTTGGACGTTTGTGCCCAACGCTGGTTTTCAGGTGGCACCCTGCAGTGACTCACGGACGGCGGTGCCGCCCCTCAATGAAGACAAAAAATAAACATGAAATTGTATAAATAATATAAATTTAGCTGAATATGTGTGTGTGTGTGTGTGTCAGTAATTGTACAATTAAATCATCAACACATCATTTAGACATCTCAAATCAATTTGTCATTTGGGACTTCGTCTCCGTTTCTTTGTAATTATTTGAAATGTATAACACCTTGTTTATGACTGTTTCGTTATAATATTTTTATTTAATTTAAATAAATAAATAGATATATGATAAAAGAAAATAATCAGAAAACTGTATAATTGACATTTAATCATAATTTCACTCGCAAGTCCGCCCCTGCACGAAAATCGTGAAATTCTCTCTACTATTTACAAACAAGCGCCGTGCGGGGACGTTGTCGCTGTAACCACTCCTGCGCATATTCGGGCTTGCGGCGGCGACGATGCTGCTGGCGCTGCTGCTGCATCTCCTCATCTTTCACCTGCTGACTGCTAGAGGTGAGCATCATTACCAACTAACAGAAAACTCATTTATTATTAGTTTATTTTGGCCAATATTTTTGAGTGTTTTGTAGTGATTTGGAAATTCGGGATTTTGAAAGATAAATGACAGCACTGTCATGGATTTGTTTATTTGTTATTTTACAGAATATATTCCTGAAACTTATTTTATTCATCTTCTACCCAATTTACAGCATATGCTTTAAAAGAAAACAAGTGTGAGTAAATAGTGTTAATGTTTTCAGTGCAGTAATGTATATTTGTGTGAACATAATATCCGTTGTGGTTTCAGGCTGTTTGATAACAAGTGTGTTGGCTTTTGATAAGTATGGAGCTTTGTGTCGCGACCATGTGAGGGTGTGTCACGTGTCGACACATGTTACAGTAACTGTTCAGTCAGTTTGGGGAACAAACATAGGACCATTACATATTGTTTCATGGTATTTTATTTATTTATAATTTGGACAACCAGCAGTTGCTACATTGGGTCTTATATCTAAGTACTTTTATAGTAATAAATTTTAAATGCACTACATTTTAAGGTGTCACAACATGCACAGTAGCCCAACGATGACACTTTTACTAGTATTTGTGACAATTGGAAAATAAACTAAAAACTAAGAAATAGCTACTTAAAATTAAAATTAAAACATAAAATAAAAATCTAAGTACATATTAAAGATCAAAAATCTACGCATTATGGTCACTCAACAATCTCCCTATAGCCTTTTTAAAATTCGATAGCAGTATCTTATAGGTTCAGTTTGGGTAACATGGTACATATAACCATTGCATTGTGGTATAGGGGTAGACAGAAACTATATTTTTTTATACTATAGGTCGTTAAACGAGCAGACGAATCACCTGATGGTAAGCATTCGGCGCTGCTCATGGACATCCGCAACACTAAAGGGGTTACAAGCGCGTTGTAGGTCTTGTGGGTGTTGGATATTTGAGGATATGGGGATTTGGGAAGTTAAGATAGAAACTAACTAAATTGAAACTATGTTATGTTGTCAGAATTCAGCCAGATTTTCCCAGAATGGTTTTAACTTTGTTTTCAGTATTTGCATAGGTATTTCTTTATTTCTGCCCCCTAAAAATGGTGTACTTGGCCACTGAAGGTTAAATAACCGAATTACAATTCCAAATATTTATTTTTAGCTACGGAATGCATTTGCAATTGTTTCTGAAATACACGTATAGTAAAAACATTTACTTCTCGCAATTTTAGATTTCAGGTGTAAATAAATGAATTATTGAAAAAGGTTCAATAAATTACTGATTGCAAGGGTAGTCAAGGTTATTTAGAGCAATATTCCTCACGACTTTTTAACTATCGTTTGTCAGTAATATCTAACAGCCGAAATGAATCATAATCATCAGGCCGTGTTTCACTGCTAGACATAAGTCTCTCCAATGGCACGCCACTGAATTTGGTCTTTAGCTCTTCGCATCCAACCACTGCCAGCCACTTTGCAGATGTCGTCACTCCTCGTAGCTGGAGGGCGCCCTATACTTCGTTTGTCTAGGCGCGATCTCCACTCTTGAACACGTTTACTCCTATATTCTTATCCTATCTTCGACAATTGTGACCGGCCCACTGTTACTTCGTCAATGACTTAGGGTCCCTGTCGGGTCACTTCATTTCGAATTCAATCCTTCAAGCGACTCCGAGCATAGCTCTCTGTATAGATCGCTGGGCGACCTATATGGTGGACCGAAATGAATAACTGATGTCAATACAAATATCTGAATCAATCTAAACTTTGGATGGAAACTCGATTCGAAATTCCGTTTTAATCCAAAGAGTTGTGTAAGAAATTATTGTGTTTTAAAAAACTCACATTTCTTTTAGGAAGGTTTCGAACCCTCACTGTTATACCTGAGAAGCCAGCCTTAACACTGGGTCACCCCTCAACATATTTATTGAGAAATATAATCCAAAACAATACCATCCCGCATTAGTTAACCATGAGATAACGTTACGTATTGTTATTTATTCATTGCAGTACTTCACTTGAATACCTTTTAATCGAATCTGCTATCATCATTCACAGCTGTTTATTTTCACAAAATACCTGAAACAATAACATCACACGGTAACTGCAGGAGATTGTAAACATTGGTCGGTTTCAAGATATTTGAATACTTGTGTAAAATATTATGTAATTGCGATATCTTTAGTAAACAGACGATTATTGAAGGTGACGTGATTGGGAAAGTGAAACAAAAGATTCTTGTATTGTTCGATTATTCAGTCATTTCATTATTTACGTTGATTTTTTCATCGCTTGCCACTAAGTGAGCGGTGGCCAAACGTCATCCTATGAAATATAAAAAAACGTGTGAGAGTCATACACGGTCTCACAGAAAATCGTCGTGGAAGAGCGTTTGCGTTGTGTTTTGCTCACTTCCCCATTTCCAAATCCCCAAAAGGTTGGCAACGGATTTGTAACTCGTGTAGTGCGAATTATAGGTAGGTATATAGTTCAGTTTTTTATGAGATTAGCCAGCAAACGAGCAGGTGGATCACATGAATCACATGATAAGTAAGCACCGCTGCCCACGGACACCCGAAACACCAGAAGAGTGACAATTGCTTTACCGGCCTTTTGGGGGATTTTAGGAGGATTCGGGGATGGGAGGTGGGAGATGGCAGATCCAAAATTATCAATAGATATCATGGATGCTAGTTCCTACAGGCTAAAGTACTTTAAAAAAAGTTACACACCTCAGGTTCACACGACCTCAGGTTAAAAATAAGTGTCACATCACATTTAAATGATCACCGCATAAAACCCAATGCTACGACACAGTCCTATCTACAAAGATTGAGGTTTAGTGAACAATTATTATTCATTTCGGTTACTTCGGTTAGTTCGACAGCTTCTTCTTTAAAAGGCACTCACACTTCATGGTAGCGTACAGTACATCGTTTTATGATTCCGATATGTACCAAGACCCAATCAGCACAGTCCTAGCCTAATAATCCAAACCAGATGACCCTGTTCCCGTTGCAGATGTCCCCGCGCGCAAGGACACAAACTTCGTGGTGAAACACATAGACAAGTGCCCCAATGTCGGCTACTACTTCAAGAGGGACACACCGCCTAATTCCGTGGGTCCTGGTGTCTGCTACCTCTGCTTCTGTCAGGGAGACCACACTGCCATCTGCTGGAAGAGAGAGAATAGAAGATGTGACAAGCTAAGCTTCCGTCATCCGGAGATTGGGAACCAGTAAGTATTAGTAGGTTAAGAAATATTTTTCCTTAAGGGATATTTTTAAGCTTCTGTAAAGTCCTTCTTTAAAAGAAAAGGAAGGAGATGTAGGAGACAGTTACATGTTTATAGATAGAAGAATATTTTGGTTATGAATTTAGGTTACTTGAATCTAAATGTGGCTTAATCGGTGCATGTGGAATAAACTGAAATAATATTAAATTGTTGAATGATCAAAATGTTATTTATGAGGTACGGGGGCACATAATGCAATTGTTATGTGTTCGTATCGTGTGAGGCATAACTTTAAATTTTTTAACAAACTTCAAACCATTTGTTTCAGCTAAATATTTTATTAACGTAGCATATTTTCATACAGAGACTCAAGGAAAAGACGCAGCCCCGGGTTCGCTGACTTATTCTTTCGAGAAGCTTCTAGAGATTGTAAGTATTTATAAAATAGTTAAGGTATATTAACTTCAATTAATGGAATCCCCAACAATCCTCAAACTCCTAATCTTCAAAACCTCCAAAAGGCCAGTAAATCACTTGTAACGCCTCTGGCGTTCCAGGTGTCTATAGGCGACGCCGATTGCTTACCATCAGGTGATTCGTTTACTCGTTTACAGGCTTATCCCATAAAAACGGACGTAGTAACAATAGGTTTTGTATCTGTTTTGCCGGTTCTTAGCAA